TTGAACTTCAAGCTTCAGCACTTAACAATCATGCATCCCAGGGAAATGTGCTGGTTAACCCCCGAGCGTTTCCTCATGGGAAAAAAATGCCATGATGCTTATAAGGGTTAGGAAAAAAGTATGTGAAACCGCTGGACAAGGCTTAGTACATTATTTCTCCCACAGGCTTTCTTCACTCGGGAGGTTCAGCAAATCCAGCTACAGGCTAATCTCATTTTCTGTATAACAATAGACCAGAATGTTAACTGTGCTCATCTTCCCATCCTGTTAATGCAGATGGTTTTGTTAAATTTTTCTGTGATTGCGTAACACAGCCATTTGATTGTAATAATGCTATGAAGTTATATACCTTTTTTGTTTTACTCTCAAACTTTCATTAATGTACAGCAGACTTTACAAAAGCTACATGTGTGATATTGCAACTGATTTTTATAGATGAGAATTCAACTGCCTGCTATTGAGCCAGATACTAAAGTAATTTGTGAAATGTGAAAGAGTGCAACTGAGCTCACTCAGTTTTTTTGTTTGGGAAAAGAGAGTAATTTTTCACTTAAAAAAAATGTTATGTTAACATGGAACAAGTGTCAAAAGGTCCTGAAACAAAACAATTTGAGAACTGCTAGGTTAGACTCTGAGCCTGTGGCTGAAGACTGCCATGTGAGCAGTGTTCCTGTCATCCACACTTGTATCGCAGGGCCTTTGGTGACTTCATCCAAGTATCAGGGGCTCCCAGCAGTGATACAGAACCCGCCTGCCAGTGCAGGAGACCCAAGAGACTCAGGTTCAGTTCCTGGGCCAGGAAGGATCCCCTGGAGGAGGAAATGGTAACCCACTCCAGTATTCTTGCTTGGAGAATCCCATGGACAGAGGAGCCTGGCGGGCTACAGTCCATGGTGTCACAAAGAGTTGGACATACAGAAAGAAAAACACCAATACAGTATATTAATGCATACATATGGAATTTAGAAAGATGGTAACAATCACCCTATATGGGAGACAGCAAAAGAGACACAGATATAAAGAACAGACTTTTGGACTCTGGGAGAAGGCGAGGGTGGGATGATTTGAGAGAATAGCACTGAAACATGTATATTACCATATGTGAAATAGATGACCAGTCCAGGTTTGATGCATGAGACAGGGCGCTCAGGGCCGGTGCACTGGGACAACCCTGAGGGATGGGGTGGGGAGGGGGATGGGAAGGGGTCAGGATGGGGGACACATGTACACCCACGGCTGAGTCACGTGAATGTATGGCAAAAGCCGCCACAACATTGTAATTAGCCTCCAACTAAAATAATTTTAAAAAACATTTTAAAAAGTCAGACATGACTGAGCGCGCGCGCGCACACACACACACACACACACACACACACAGTCTAAGTATCCCTTTTCTTCCTTTTGCTGGAAAAAAGATTGTAAACAATTAGTTACTTGCTCTAATCCCACAACTAGTTTTTTTAAGCAGAGATCTGGAGGCAGTTGCACTGAGCTGCAATTATTTAGATGGCTATTAATGATGGTTATTTTTGTTTTCTTTCACACACAGCTTATTTGCATGGCGTTTTGGTATGCCAGGAACCAAAAACAAAATAATTCAAGGCAGTGAAACTGAAGTAAACTAGGAAGATCATCAGCCGAGAAGGGCCTGTTGGGAGGAAGCAGAGTAAGTATAGTGTGCATTGAGAATTCGTTGGGTTGTATTAATACATGGAAAAGCAGAGACTGGGTCAGTGAAAAGAAATAATGTTTTGTTTCTCTCAGGCCTAGCCTGCTAATACTTATAAACTGGCCAGATCACACAGCAAGCCCAAAGATGCCTTGAAAAGGAAGTGCACGTTAACTTCTTAAGTTGTATAAGAGCATGACTTGATTCATAAGTAGTCTAAAACATCATGCCGGAAAGGATCGTATCTTAATAAATCTCTGACCTAGTAGTCAAGGGAAGACTGGGGACAGGTAGCCCTATCAAAGGACTTTTGTCCAACTAAATATTGCAATTTTAAATACTTTTAGTAGTTTCTAGGGGATGTGGGGTGTAACATTTTCACCTAAGAAAGTTTTGGTTTCCACGTCATTTTCCAACATACTTCCCTTTGACTGCTTTTTATTGCCTCAGTGGCCTGTCTTCCCTGGGTCTTGTTTTTCTTGCCTCTGAAGTTTGCCCCAGCTCTGTGATCTCCTACATACGCCATTTCAGGCTTGTCTCTCTCTGCCGATCTTCTTTTGAAGAGGCTCCTGGCTCGTGACTCCTTGGCCGGGACTGCCCCCGCCCCTCCCTCTTCCCTGACCCCGCCTTAGCCCCTGGGAGGCACTCAGGGCTACTTGCCTCCTCTGGGACCTGTCTTTCTCAAGAGCCCCCCGCAGAGAGTCAGTGGTGAAGTGGGAACTTGGCAAGCATTCCTTGGATGTTTCCTTTAAACACGATTCCTTAGCTTTACTTTTTGAATTTTGGATAGGAGTTATAAAGGACACAGTCATTTTATACTGATGATTCTTTCTTCCTTTTAATCCTAAACATACTTTTAAAAAGTAGGTCTTTATGAACCCATACCATTTCCCTTCCTCCCCTCCCTGCCCCCCTATTGCCAACATCTGCCATTTAAAACTAAGCCAGTTCTTTCCTTGGCACAAGGAGGATTTCATATGCTCTTGTCATTCCACCCAGGTTTCCTTACCCAAAGCCAGTAGCATTCGTCAGGGTGGTAGCCATGATTCTGTGCCCTGGTGTATCAAACCTGAAATGGAACTTTTTTGAGAGGGTAAAGTTTACAGTGTATTTTGAATATAGTTTAAAAAAATTGAGCATATACCCAGAACTTATTTGATTTGTTCTTTTATAATGTATAGTTATGGAAATACATATTGGATGATTTTTATAGTTATCTTTACATATGTACATGTGTGTGTAAATAGGTACATTATTTGTGTGCCTTAATGACAAGGTCGATTTATATCCATGAGAGTATGTTAAAGACAAAATTATTCATGATCTTTGTTAAAGAACAGTGAGTTAGACCTTACGACCATTGCAATAGGCACGGGTATCACAATACTGGGATTTTGCCGTCGGGTGTGGAGGGTAGTGTGGAGACCGGACTCAAGCTCAAATGCAATCGAAGTGGGAATTTACAGCCAAGGAAGAAGGTAGGGGTCTGTGAATGGACTATTACCAAGGAAAACATCAGTGGTGAGAGGGGATTCTGGTTAAACTGACTTATCAGAATTCTTGCGAAGGCAGGTCAAGGTGGTTAGACATTACCTGAAGGATGGTGAGGATGAGGAACCTGATCAGACATAGACGGGGAGAGATTCTGGCTAAACCAATTTAGCAATATTCTTGCTAAAACTGGGTAACATAATGACAAATATAAAAGCTTAGAAGTCAGCTTAGTTGAGAAGAGTTGAATTCTATTCTCAACTAGGAGAGACTCCGTCAAATTATAGTTGATGTTGTCAACAGAACTGGTGACCAACCCTCTCCCATACTGATTTCTTTTCTTTACCCTCAGACAGGATCCTCATAGCTTTCTTGAAATTAATTGTGTTACCTGTTTCTAGGCAATTTCAGGTTTCTTTTACTTCTTAGAGTTGATACTCCCTTTTTTTTTTCCTTAAAGTTTGAGAAATTCAGAAAAATCTGTTAAGTGGAATACCATATTAGTAACTTGACGTGTACCTTTTTCTGTACATGTGTAATATCTTAAAAAAAAACACCAAGAATTGTTAGGTAAGTGCAAAGGAACAGGAATGGAGCTTGAACAGCTTTACAAGCAGGAAAAAGCAATGATGGAGTAGGAAGTTCAAAGAGGAGGAAATTCAAGAAACATCCTCAAGACAAAACACACAGTTGACCCAAAGTTGTTTCTGCAAGACTGTTCCACCACTTTGTATAACAGCAAGGAAAAAAAACCCAGCCCCAATAGTAACAAAAAACTTCCTCATGAATGTCAACAATTAGGGACAGGCTAAAAGTGATACCTCCTTATGATGGACTGTTATGTAGCCATTAAAAATGTTTCTTCAGATAGGAAGATAGTTTTCACTCTATATTTTCTACACATTAAATGTTGTTATGCCTTGTGAATGTTGTATGTTAAAAAAAAATGCCGTGATAAATTTCAACAGGATGTTTACTTAAGTGAAGTGCAGGATAAAAGATTATGCAGCTGCATTCCTGTTGCTTTGCACTTACCTAGCAATTCTTGATGTTTTCAGGTAATCCTGTTCAGTCCCTGCTCCTTCCTTCCCTATCTTCTGTGCCACACTTGACAGGTCACATCCAGAAGATAAATCTTTCCTTTACCAGTATTCTCGTGATTTTCACCTGAACCATCTGTTTTATATCTTTGAGCTTTGGAAATTTATTTAAATGATGACCCTCCAGCTAAAAAGCTTTGAAAGCAGCTATACTAAAGGGGCCTCATGAGTATTGTCTAAATTTCATGGGCAGAAAAACAAAACCGGGTAATGTCTAGAGTCAGAGTGGGACTGAGTCAACAGCTATCAATGAAATTGTTCTGAGTATTCTGATCAGGCTGCTGTTTGAAGCCTATATTTTGGTTCTGGTAAATAAAGTGTTTATCTACCTTTTAAAAAATATCTTGAATTTAAACAATTTAAATTGAAATCAGGAAGAGAAGGGCATTCAAGAAATGTATCCTAAAAAAGTAAGCTAACTAATTTAAATAAAGCAGTTTGGTTATAGATGTGAGTTCTGACCATCTGCATCTCAAAGAATGACCAGAGTATATGCATGAATTCTTCTTGATCATATTCTGTATAAGTGTTCTGTAAGTGTGAGAAATATAAGGTTAATTATTTGGGGAAGTGACTGGATTAAAATAGATTTTTGAGGTGCTTAACTTTGTTAAGTTTTACAGTAGTGAGAACATCAAGATGGCATCAAGGTTTTCTTTTCACTTTTCTTTGCAGGGATGAAAAATCAAGTGAAGCACTGTTTTGTTGTAGCAGCAGTCCTTTGAAATTTAACTCAAAAAATGGGCGCTCTTAATTCAGAGAACTGCTCTTTTCAGTACCAGCTGCATCAAACACATCAGCTTCTAGATGGTAACTGTCTGTTATTCTTGATTATATTTGGGAAAATACTGTTAAATATCTTTACATTAGGAATGAAAAGGAAAAACACTCATCAAAATTTTTTGGAATATTTTTGCATTTCACTAGCATTTACTGATCTTCTACTTTTCGTGAATATTTCCATTATATCTTATTTCAGGGATTTTGTGCTTTTAGGCATTAGGTTTACTAAATACCACATCTGCCTATTTATTCAAATTATTTCTTTTACTTACGGTTTTTTGCATTATCCAGTTTTCCTGATAGCTTGTATAGATTATTACCTGAATTTCTCTAAAGCCACCAAGCTTCCATTTAAGTGTCAAAAAGTATGTTATTTCTTTACAATTATTTTAATTTGGATTTCTGTCCTTACTTATGTTTTGGGAGATCCAGCTATCTACCAAAGCCTGAAGGCACAGAATGTTTATTCTCATCAATGTCCTTTCTATATTGGTGCTCAGGGTTACTGGCTGTCATTTTCCATGATGACAATTTTATTTATGGGTTTTATAACCTCTTGGTCAGAAGTCATTACCTTGGTACAGGCTGTTAGGATAACTTCCTACATGAATGAGACTATCCTGTTTTTTCCCTTTTATTCCCACTCTTCTTATACCATGAACTCTAAAAAAACACTCTTGCCCAAGTTGATTATCTGTTTTCTTGGTACCTGGTTACCATTTGTAGTGCTTCAAGTAATTATCCTTTTACTTAAAATACAGATTCCAGCTTACATTGAGATGAACATTCCATGGTTGTACTTTGTCAATAGTTTTCTCATTGCTACAATTTTTTGGTTTAATTGTCACAAACTTAATTTGAGAGACATGGCATTACCTGTGGATCCATTTGTCAACTGGAAATACTGCTTCATTCCACTTATACTTCCTAATTTTGAGCAAATTGAAAAGCCTATATCAGTAATCATTTGTTGATATGTTACCATGTTAAAACTAAAACTTAACAGCTACAAGACTGGTAATTTTACAAACCGGAAGGAATGAGGCCTTGGGACATATACTTAACTGAAGCTCTCCCCTGACCCCAAACTCATACCTTTTCAGAATGTGTCTTTTGGGGGCTCTATGTATTAGTTTTCAACAAAATACTTCCAAAAACATATTTATACCTGTTGGCCATACTCATGTTTGTGTTACCCAGAAAACTACTGGATACAAATGGTTATGTAAATCTGAGATTCTTCTGCCAACTTTTCAGATTTAAATAAACATTTTATTAAACTCAGAGCAAGAAAATTGTTTTCTTTAAATAGTTTAAATGTTCTTTAACATAAGGAAAAGGATTAGCTCAATTTAAATTTAGCTAATTTTTAAAAATACATCGTTCTTAATGCAGATATTCCTAAGAGCAGAGTTTTTGTTGCTCACCATAAAGAACTGGGAATGGTGACTGGGTCTCTTCCATGACACACGAGATTTGTTTTCAATTGTAACTTATCTGTCATAGAATCTGCATGGCAACCTGCAATCACATTGGTAATATACCATAGTGTGAAAGTAGAATTTCTTATCCTCAGCACTGTTGAGGTTCTGGGTTGGATAATCCTTTGTTGCAGGAGCTGCTCCATGTACTTTGCAGGATGTCTCTGAAGCACCTCTGCCTCCCATCCACTAGATGCCAGTAGAATCTCCTTTCCCCAGTCATCACAATCAGTGTCTCCAGAAATTGCCATACTTGGCTCGGGCAAGTTCTTGCGTGAGAACTACTGAAGTGAAGCAATCTGAATGGCAGAGTAATCTGAAATCACTCTGAGTTAAACTACAAAGACACCATCTAATTTGTCAGTGTCTAAATATGCTGTGTTCCTTTCCTTCTTAATGTATGACTTTCTAACTGACCATACATGGGACTGAGATATTTAAACTATTTTACTAATTAATTAGTAAAGACTTAAAACTCTGCAAATTTTAAATCTGGAAAATGTATAGTTGCTAGCCCCTTGTTAAGCTGTTGGTTTACAAGATGCCCCATTCTTCACAAGCTTAAAAAAAAAAAAGAAATTTTTTCAATAGACCAGCCAAATGGAAGAAGCTTTTATTTGTAAAGAAATGAACTTACAACTGGTCTACAATATATTATTGTAATATAAACAATATAAATAAATGATCCTGTAGGCCCACTAACCTTCCATCCAGACCCACATGAAGCAATGTTACAACAATATTCTATGTGAAAATGTGCAGGTTAACAAAGGTGCAGTTACAAGCAAGTTTAAGCAGCAGAGTATAAGGTGCTTTAATTTAACAGTTAATGTTGCCATCAACAAATATCTGAATGTTCAATTTTACTTCACTGAATACAGACACAACAAATATGAAAATCTTAAATTCATACACATGCTACTGTTAATATGAAAGTGCTTTCTCTTTTAAAAAAATACACCAAATGGACAATCTTTTTACATAGATCATGGTGTGCTCTTATAATGCAAAATTAACTTCATTTTCAGGTTATACATTTTAAAACTGGTAGCTACAGACACCAATCTAGGAACGCTAATGCTAAGAGTTCTAGAACTATTTCATTTCCTGTAAGGAGGACTCCAGTACAATACCCAACATAAAGAATACATCTATATATAATCTTAACATTTGTTTTTTGTAAAGATAAAAAATGATTTCTTTCCCCTTGGTGATGCTTTTTGTTCATCCTGTGTGGATCAGTGTTTTGAGGTTTTAAAACATGAAAATCCTATTTTAGGGCAATGGGAGGAACCTGGGAGGAACCAAAAGGAGGAATTTAAAAAAATCAGTTAACATGTGCTTGAAGCATCAAAAATAAAGTTTTTTAAAAAAATTTATCACAATCTGCCTTTGTTAAATCAACAGCAAAAAGCATGCTTTCAACAAGCAAGAAGACAAAAAGGACTAGTTCAACAGAGGCTTGAAATGCCCGACACCCGTGTCAGCCTCCATTTTGCACACTGCTGTCTGCAACTCCAACCTTCAGCACAAGCTCACCCCTTACTTTGAGGATAATTTTTAGAGCTTACTTTGACTTTTTTTCCCTATGGAAAAAAACATGCTTTTGAATGAGGTGATTGAGAATCTAGTTAAATGTCTTGGAAATTAGATGTCTAAAATTATTACTATCTTTGCACACTCAAACTGGTTTTTTAACATTTAAAATACACATACAAAAAATATTTATGTAATATTTTAACAGCAAAAATATTAACTAGGTAAACTAAAATACTTTAAGAGTTTTAACCAGTACCATGGAAAAAATTTTTTAAACCCAGACTATCTGGTTACTTGGATGTTAGTGTTCCTATTTACAAACACTTTACTACAGATTCTATTCTTAACACTTATTTGGACATTTACCTGCTTTAAAAAGCTGTTAACTATGATACAGAAAAGTTTTTTTCATTTTGCATCTTTATGGAGAAATATATAAAGTTGTGTCAAATGGGAAATTACACCGTAACTCAAAATCCTCTGGTGGCAAGGAAACCTCTACCCAATTAAATTGATCCTCCCATTCTGTTTGCTCCCCAAATATTTGTAAATTCAAGCTCCAAGCACAGAACTGTTTTATTGTTTACAGGTTCCGCATGTTAAAGGAAACCCTTTTACTATGTAAAAGATGTGTGCTTTCTAAAAAGGAGATATTTGTGATAATTGTAGAATTTTATGTAGTATTTCTTGCTTTAAAAAGAACACAAAAACTAAACCTGTTTAGCAAGCTCCTTTGAGATTTTTCAGTTTTCAGAAGTTACTGCACTGTCAATACTGGGTGTAAAGCTTTCATAGTACAAAATGTATCTAGTAAGCCAGCACCAGCTTCCTTGTAATTGTTGTCACACACCCTGCATATCAACACCTCTGGAATAGACTCAAGTGTCAAAGTAATTGAGAAATATGGGCTGTTAAAACAGTTTCAAAATGTAAATCCTAATATTAAGTACCTTTAATTTTATAACCTAATCAGGTATGTGGATTAGTATGCAAAATGTGTTATAGGAATTGTGATATGATTCAGTCAGACCCCTTGGATATCACCTAGCTTAATCCTTTACCCAATGCATAAATCGGCTCCAACTTTATATTCACTGCATTAAGTAATAATAGTTACATGTTTGTTTATGCCACAATCAAAACTGAGGACAAGAGAGGATTTTGTTATTACCAGTTCCTTAAGTCAGGTATACCAACCACACACTGCACACGACATAGTGAATGTTCAAATGGTTTGCTAAATGAATGGATAAATGAATTGACAGTGTTTAGTGATTTTAGCAAGCATTTAGAAAAATCTCAATTAGCTCATCTGTGTGAATTTTCTACCTTAATCCTAAGGAGAACAAAGACTGTGGGTGTCCCAGGAAATGGATCATAATAAATAATTATCTTTTAGCCAAAGCTCTTAAGGGTGAAACAAACCATTAAAAAAAGAAAGAAAGAAGTAGGAGCAACTTTAAAAAATACCCCACTATGTGGTCTGGAATCATAGTTTATACAGCTTAACGATGATTTAAACAAAATCAACATTTTGAGTAGTACAGGCTCCATACTGAATATTCAGAAGAGGGAACAGGTTATAAGCTTAGTAATGGCCTAAGATGTCACACAGCTAATTTATGAACTAGAAGTAAAACTTCAGTCTCCCAGCCAGTATTTTATCTTCACTTACCATGTTCATTCAGTGATTATGTCCACTTATTATTTGCTACTGAAGTAATTATTTAGTACTACCTAAAATAGAATTTTGGTTTTAACATAAGTATTATAAAAGATTTTAGCAATGAATACATCTGGTTTGCTTGAAGCAAGACTAAAGTTCCTTTTCTAAAATAGGTTGATGTTCATTTCACTACCATTCCTCACCACTCTCTTATAATCACCAACTTTTTCACCTCCATCCATTAAAGCTCCACAAAATCAAGGATTTAACACTGATAACAGTCCCTAAAGTATAACTTTTAAGTCAGTAAGTGACAACTACTATCAATCCTTAAGATTACTGGCATCAATTTAAATAGGTGGTCTAAAAGGACTTACTTTTATTATTCTTACATTTAAAACTGTACCATGTTAGCATAAGTGTTTAAAGTTTATATTGATTTCTTCTGTCCAAATTAAATTTCATTCATTACTTTTTAAAATATTTTAAAACCCTGGCACAGGTTTTCTTTCTATGGATTCATACTGATACCACCAGTATCACTGACAGCAACTGTACTTTTCAAAGGCAGTAGAGAGAAATGTTTCAATGTACTTCTTCCCTAATGTCTGAGGCTGAAATAGTCACCTTTAATAACTAAAGTTAAATGTTCACAAGCTGTTAAAAGGGGGAAAAAAATAAAACTGTGGAAAGCATTTCCCAAAGCTTCCATGAACACGGCACCTTAAGAGGTGTGTGTGAGAGTAGAACGGGAGAGCTTTCATTAGAGAAGCTGGGCTTCAGGGGGAGGGCAGGTCTCCCTTCTCATGCAAGTATACTAAAATGCAAGTTCAGAAAAAGCCAGATGTTCTGCTCTGGAATATGATGATGATGATTATTTGTACTAATGCTTTACAACTTTTAAAAACAACTATCATAGTATTATTTTAAAATAGATTAAATAAGCTCTGAAAAATAATATGTAAAAACTTTAAAAAATTCTTAAAAATTTAGGAGTTTTCCAAAAAAGATAATATAATTTTCAACATTTTTTACTGAAGAAATGGCTTGTATTAGTGCTATGAGTCAAACTATATGATACATTTTTTGAACTTCTAACAAAAAAGGAGTATCTTCCCAAAGAATCTTTTTAAAGTGTACAGCTTATAGGTTGAAATTAAATTTTAATAAGATTGCATATTTACTTTCCCTAATACTGCATTTGTGCTTATTTAATTGAATCACAACTGTTAAGATAAAAATCAAATGCTCTAAACAGATTCAGAAATACCAATTTTGATGAAAGTAGATTAAACGGTTTTTTCAAGAACCACACTACTGTGCATCAAAGAAAGAGGTAGGCTTGTAGTTACTGAAATCCACAGTAAGAAAACAGAACCCTACAACTCCAGTCATCCGATTCTTAGACCAAGACACAACCTAACAAAATACTATCCTAAGAATGCCTCTCTTTGTATTAAATCCACTAGGTTGGTTGATCTGGAGTACCTGAAAACAGATACTCTCTCCTCTATATAATTCTGATAACTCATAAAACCTTTGTGTTCTTGACAAATACTCTTCCCAACTATACCAGCTGTTAACCTTTCTCAGAAGTCAAAAATCACCGATGTATGTATCACTGGAACTATTAATGTGCTCCTAAGGGCAGGATCATTTGATCAGGAGAGTAAAAGAATGACTCTGATTGCAGGTAAATCTTGACATTAAGGGGGGGAAAAAAAAAAACCCTATATCCTGTTTATTGCAGTAAACGGAACCCAACCATTACAATTCATTTGAACTACGAACGGCCATATCTATACAACACAACCTCACTCACTTAACTGAATTATCCTCTGCTTTTCTTGCTGTCTCTTCCTCCACTTCCCTGTCATTTCCCCTAGAAGGCCGTCCCCAAGGCCCACTGGCAGTGTGCAGAAAACAACTGAGGATACATCGCGCAGAGTGGCCGGTGTATTGCCCTGGACAGCCTCTGTACTGCCCAGAGGCTGCTCAAAGACATGAGCCGAGTGTCAGGTGTTAGAAATTCCTGCCTGAAATTAACCCTCCTACAGAGTCGTCTGTAGGGCTTCTCAGGCAAAGAAGAAAGTTAGCAGTCTCCTTCGGGCTTGAGGAGGTAAGGGGGAATGAGGCCCTTTCATCCTATTTATTAGGCAATAGTGCTCCTCAATGCCCCTTGCTCAGAGGCAGCATGAGTTCTTGCCATTCAATGAGGGGGAGGATCTTCAAACCACAAAATATAACCAAGCTGTTCTAGTTGAAAATACATTTTTTAAATGTTTTAACAGTATGTCCAGCCAGGGATTTCTTCCACTTGATATGGCTATGAAGACAGCATCTTTCCCATGCATCTGTACTAGTTTCTTCTTTCCAAAATTCTTTACACACATGTAGACACAGCCTAAAACTACACACAATCTATGCATTGCCTCACTACCATACTTTATGCCATGGTGGTACCAAAACCTTGCAAATGCAAACAATGGGTCTTCATAACATTTAGCTGAACAAGTCAAGTGACATGAGGCACTAGAACAGATTTCAATCCAAGACTGGTATTTGAATACACTGACTATAATATCACACTGGATATGGGAAAATTAGCTATGTTGAAAATTTAAGTGGGCTATCTAAAAAATTCTTTTTCTATTTAAGTCTATTTAAAACTAGGTAAAATGAGTATTAACTTCAAAAGTATAGAGATGTGTTCAGTGTTAAGGTGGGATAACTAAAAGTGGCAGGTCTCTTGTCTGCTTCTCTCCAATCCTCAAGCTCCATCACTAACATTGCTTTCCTTCTATTCCACATTCTCTGTTCAGAGGGGACAGCCCTTAAACTAGGACTTTAGAAAGGGTCTGTTTAGAGAATGCCCCAGCAAACTAAAAGTACCATCATGGGAAAATAACCAGCCCCTTAGAAAGCGACAGGTTGTGGGACAGCACTCTCACAGTGATCTTACCAAAGCTGCAACGCTGTGTAAGACACATGCCCACGTAAGGCTTGAGGAAAACGTGCATCACGTAAGAAACAATTTTTACAAACCAGCTGTTTACTTTAAGCACACATGGCTTAACACAAGTAAAATTTCAGACTTGTAGGGATTTCCTTCCTCAATGGGAGAAGAGTGCCTTAGTATGAAGAAGTCAGAAAATACAAACTTAGGTAGCAAAAAGAACTTCCCATGTCCCCTTTCTGCTTATCATTCCCTCTTAATCAAAATCCTGAAACAGGCAGTAATATGAAGGAAAGTAAGAATAACAGCACTCTCCCCACCTATTTCATATTAAAACTGTGCTTAGAGCTTAGGAGGGAGGTGGGCATCCAGTGTTATCATCTATATCCATTAAAGATATAACCGAAATTTTAGAATTCACATGATTAAATCATCCAGAAAACAGTTGTGTCAATGGTAAAGCTACTACTTAAAAGTCAATGAGCCATTTCTAAAATAAACTGGGAAAAAAAAGCAAGTGTGTTTTTTAAGTATGCTTTGAGTGGGGACAACAGAAGATCCGGACTGTTTTTACCAGTATTACAAGATTTAGGATTATAAGGAGCTCTCCAGTGGAACCCCCTCGTAAGTGTCCGTGGACGCCAGCACGGTGTGAGGCACGGGCTCTGGGCAGGCAGACGACGACCGGTATCAGAAGAGCGAGTGAGCAGGAGGAGGACTGGGACGCAGCTCCAAGTCCACACCCTAAAGGCTACACATCGACAATATAGTTATGGGAGGTGATCATTACTGCCAGAGGAGTCTATCCCCAGAGAATCAATTTTGTGTGAACTGTGCCTATGGATCGTCTATGACAGTTTTAATTCCAGGAGAGAGTTTCCTTTGTGCCCTTCAGCCCCCATACAGTGGACCAGCTCCTACTAACGCTTAGCCTTCACTTGTGTCCCGGAGTTGCAAGCTGAGGGGAAAAGTCAAAGCATATGACAACTCTTGTCATCAAGATTAACTGCTAATAAATGAAAACTGACTGTAGAGTACCTACCTTTCCTTGAAACTTTAATCCAGTAATTAAAAATGTGATATAAAAGAAATATGTGACATACACTACAAGCTATTGTAGGTCTGGAACATGAGCCTTATACTATATTACATATTCTAATCCTACACATAACTATCAGTAAACATCTTTTTTTTTTAAAAAAACATTACTACACAAAAGAATCCCACAAAGCATACATTCAAACAAGAGGCATCTAAAGGTTAAAAAAATTACCCGCTGTATTTCTGTATAAAAATAATCAGCACTCTCTGATGTACACAAAGCCGAAAGATAAATATCTGTGATGTCTTTAATGACATCTTTAGTCCTCTAATAGCGCAGCACAATCTTTCTGAGGAGATCAGTGACAGTGACTGAAACCCATGGACTCTTCCTCACTTACTGAACTTCTGCCAAATATCTGTGTATGCTCCTTCAATTACTGAAACATTTCCACTGTGTGGTAGAGAGAAGAGGCTAAGAGCGTCAAATGTTTTTGATGTCCAGGACTACATACAGCTTGCAGGGCTCCCACAACAACTTTTAGTGCCATAATTCTAACGCAACACTAACTGTTCAATGAAAAGTTTCACTTTCAAGATTTTTTCCCTAAAACATGTACATACAAAATTAGATTCAATTTATCCAAGAGTGCTTTGCAGGAAGCATACAAGGATTTAGTCAAGGAAAAAGGAATGTGCATTCTAGCTAGATCCACCTTGTTCAACACTAGAAAAATCCAAAGACCAACCACATAGCCACTACAAACTAGCACCCTGCCAGCAAAGGCCGAGCCCTGGTTCTTAAGGCATAATCATATTATGCCTTCATCAGTGCAGAGAGATATGAAAGATTATTATGAATCAATACTGAGAGTCAAATTATTGGTATGTTTGTCCTCATTTTATATACCAACTTAATGGATTTCCCCTTTTTCTAGAATGCATAAAGCTGGGAATAATATTCCAGCAGAACATTAATGCTATCTGAAATATTTCCATTATATGATTATTCCTTATTACTTCCCATCTATTTTTTTCCCCCAAAATATCCCTCTGGGTGAAAAAGACCAACATTAATCACTCCTGCATTATGGTTTCTCAACCTTGGCACTACTGACATTCTGGACCAAATTACTCTGCTGTGGAGGCCTGTCCTGTGCATTTGTAGGATATTTAGTGACATCCCTGTCCTCCACACGCCAGATACCAACAGCAACCCTCCCCACCCCGCCCCCAAGGCTATGACAACCAAAGTGTCCCTTGACACTGTCAGATGTCCCCTGGGGAACAAAACTGACCTCCATTTAGAACCACTGCTCTAAATGAACAAAAACTAAGAGGAAAACAAACTTCCTCCATCACACCAAATTCTTGGTCAAGTTTGGAACAGAAACCAAATCTTCTAACTTCCAGATCAGTACTATTCATGCTAGAATGCAATTCTTTTTATAGATAAAGCAACTGTTTAACATACATTTTTTTTAAAAACATACACTGATATCTCATTGCATACAATTCCAGTCACTGGACTCCAAAATTATTCCTAAATTACTCCTAAATTATATCTCTCATGACAACCTATAGAAAACTTATAGGGTAGAAAAATGTATAAGAAAACCAAATCAAAAGAGGAGAAATGTAAATTATTAAATTACTTTCAAAAGGATTTTTATATTAATGATAAACATCACCTTTAAAAAATTATCTAGTAAAACACTTTGAAAAATATCATGACCCTCTGTAACAAGTCTTTCAATGTTGTGTGTAACCTGTAAAATTAATTCACCCATGTTAGCTAATTATGAAAATGTATAATGAATTATTGTATCTGTACAAGAAATGTCAGCCTTTGATGCAGAGATCTCAATGTGCTTGGCTATCCGCCACAGTAAGTGATAGTATTTTAGGCCAACTTGAGCCTTTACCCTTACAAGTTTGTTTAAGAATACAATTGCTGTTATCTCAAGGCCTCATGATCCTGTTAAGATTCCTTCAGAGAGTTGATGCGCGCACAGATCTTCAGGGCCGGGCCCAGCTTGATATTCATCGCGCTCATGAGATGGTCTTCTTTGAGCAGGAGAAGAGCCTGTCCGTCAATCTCCTGTGCTCTGAACTCATCTGCGATATCCTGGCAGCCTAGAATTTCATCAGAGGAAGGGTGTTAGAATACATACACAGCAATCAGACATCACTCCTAACAGTCACAGTTAAGTCACCCTGGGTGACTTAACACAGGCTGAGAAACAAATGAAATTTACTGATGGCAGTCGTGGGCTCATTCTGGAAGAAGGCAGTATTTCTTGACATTCTAAAAAAAAAATTAAGAATTCGAAATCTAGGTAAAGCAATTTACTTGGAATTCTTGTCTTAAAAATAGTACTGCAGAAATAATTAGTAAGAGTCAGGTTAATGTACAGCTCGTTCAGTCCAGATGTAACACACCTTCATAAAAGGACAATGCTGTCACCTGAAAGCACGCCACACACACGAGCCTGCATTGACTACTTACAATACCTCAAGAACTCTTCTTTGTATCAGATATCCTTCACATACAGGTACAAAAGAATAAAGCATACTGTTCTGCCACTTAATTTAGAAATATTTTCTCAAGTACCACTTTCATTTTCATTGGTAGTTTTATTTTGATTTACAATCTTCGACTGCCAGGCACACCTGAAACATTTTTATTATTCACTCAGCATAGAACCAGTCCATCAAAATTATAGTATCAATCTACTGTTGAAATGTATTAAAATACTCAACTTGTAATTTCAACTTCAAATCTTAACATCATTGGACTCATCTCCACTTCTGATAAAACAAATTAATGAAATTTTGAGCTTGCTGGGCTAATCTCTTGACAAATAACCAATATTTTACCTTTCAGTGTAAACTGGGTGCTTTAACAAGTAACAGGGTGAACACTCTACTTGACCCTTGAACGTGTTTATTATCCACCACATTTTGCACAGCTAATGAACTTCCCCACTAAGGGTAAAGAAACCAGCAGGGAAAGTAATGAATTAAGGAACCATGAGAGGAGAGAATACAAAAACGTGGAAGCTTCCTTATAAAAGACAAAATTATGAAAGTGAATTCAAGAATAAAAACACTAAGAGCTTAAAGTCTCTTTTCTTCAAATCTGCATTCTAAGGGAGGACACAGAGAAAAAGATAATGCACAATGACGGTGGTTACATTATACCTTTGGATAGGACTTTGTTGGAGTCATTATTCCTTCTACTGCAGATGTGTCATCCTCTTGTTTATGTAAGATAATAATGTAATTCCTATAACCCCAGTACCAAACACAAAACACTGCAGGTGCTAAACACATGTACTTTTAGGTAAGTGAAGGACTGAATAAATAATGAACAAAAACAGAATCTGCTAAAAAGGAGCCATCTGTAAGAGTAATGCAAAAAAAATTTTTTTTCTGTATTCAGCTGTGTGGCCAGCTTTTCTCTTGCTTATTTCTTTCCCAACTTCTCTACTGATTGTAACCTGCCTGTCTCTTATGTGGCAGTCAGCTTTTCAATTCCTCTATTTTAATAATTTCTCAGATTTTTAAAAATTGCTATTTCAAAAGTACCCTCCACAGAATTTTTATGGTTTTGGCTATTTACCATATAAAAGAGACTAAATAGTTAAAATGAGATTACTCACCATAGAAAAGCCCCTTTTCTTTTCCCAGAGGTAGCTCTCAAAACTGAGCAGACAAAACTGACTAATCTTGCATCTAGTTGTGACTTCATCCTCCTTTTTATGAAAGAACTAATGTTCTTCTCTCTTCAGTCTTACTTACAAGAACACAGGAAAGAAAAGAGAAAGACAGGGTAGGACTTAGATTTAGAAAAGAGAAGGAGTGAGAAGTGATGAGGACCATAAGAGCTACATTTGGGAATAGAAACAAGGAGTTCTCCATGAGGAAATTCATAGTATGTTCTTGTTCCTCAGTATTACCAGATCCCTCTTTAAATGTCTCCTTGCAGGTAGACAAAATATGTGTTAGCAAAATAATAAAGAACAAAATGTGAGGAAACCACATGATCAAACAGGAATGAATTATCTTCAGAATTTTAGATCACAACTTTCTTAAGCCAATCACAAAAAAGGTTGTTTATACGTTAGTATAGAAATGAAAAAATAAGGTGATTTTTAAAAGGGGAGGCAGAAGCAAATATGCTTCCTAAAACTAGAGAAAGATGATTTTTTAAAAAATGTAGATGCCCAAGGTATACCGAGCTGAAATTCTATGAATTTCTGACATATTTAGAATCTACACCTATGCAACAGCTAGTACCTCAGGGACATTACAGAACATATCCCGACTGCAGCAAGCCGTCAGCTTAGCTGGCTTCACATCACCAAATGCAGATCGGGATGGGATGGACCTCTGCACACAGACATGGGTCCCAAAGGAACCTCACAAGTGCCCAGTCACATTTCCAGCTAACCCTAAAACAAAAACACCCCACACAGAAATTAACCTCGGTAAGGATGATGAAAGGCTATCACCTGCACTCAACACTACAGAACAAACGAGTCCCTATAACAATATTATGAAACTATAGTAAATGGTCATGTTTTGAAACAATACCTACTTTTTACACCTACATAGAAACTAAACCTACTGCAGATTCACAGACCAATAAATACAGACTAAGGTGATCTTTGCAAAACGCAGTTCACTGTATCAAGAAAGAGTTAAAGAAGATAACTGCAGTAAACGGAGGGTACAAAGAACCTTTCCTATGGAGAACTTTTTAATGTACGAACATTTAGAAGAAGATAATATTTTACTCTGGTAACAGCTCTGATACTTGTCTGCATACCAGCACTGATATGGTCTCACCAAGATGGTTCACAAGATGACATACAACAAGAAGAGAAAACTCTAGGAATAAATACAGGTGCCCTGATGAAAGAGGGAAACCCAGTCTCAACTGGAAAGAAACAAAAATGCAAGAGATTACAAAATTTGCAAGTTTTTTCATTCCATGAGAAGAGCTCAGGGGAAAAATAAAATACAGCCCTGTATGAGCTGAAAGAGGCTCAAAAGGATTTACAAAGGCCAGATGAACATAGAGAAATGATGGTAACAGCCTTTTCTGGTTGAGATTTACCTTAAGCCACAGGCATTATTCAGAGAAAAACAGAGAAAGAAGATGTAACACATCACACAAATAAGCTTGTTACTCAGCCTGTCAAAGTAGTTTAGAAATACTCCCATTTAATCAATAAAAAAGTAGAGTTATATTCAGCACACTTACAATTTAGAATTTCTTCATATTAAGAAACAGTCTGTAATTAATATGTAATTTTCTCTAAAAGGCTGGCAACAAAACTGTCTTAAACTCAATAAGGCAAGCATCTCAAGTTATAAGATATAATTTTTTTTCAATTCAATGAAGGAAGAACAAAACAAAAAAGTTAGCCTTTGTCCTAATAAATCAGCCAAGAGTAAGTAGCCTTGTGGCAAATGGATGCTGGGGAAACTTAGAAAACTAGCCCTAAAAAAGGCATATGAAGTGATAGAACCATCAGCAGCATCTGTTACTTGTTACCTGTTTGGCCAACCATTTTCCTCCTCCCCAAAGGAAAAGAAATATTTCCCCCTCCAAATGAGAAATCAGGCTAACAAACAGTTCATATATCCCATTTGGAAGACTGAGACTGTCTAAAGATGACAGAATCAAAGTTCAGCCCCAGGGATTAGCGTCAGTTCCAATGTTAATTCTCAAGATACCTAGACCGGTGTAAAACTTAAAATTTATTTCATTAAATATTAAAGCCACACCCTGTGAAGATTCACCATTCTCTAATACATCAGCTTTTTAAAGCAGATTCTAAATCCACATGGTCAGCACTTGAATCACACCTAAGTTTTCCTAGGTGCATGCTTAAAAATCTTCCCATGAAAAATGTATCCCTTTTTTAAACAATTTCATCTTTCTTTAAAAGTGACCATATCTTATTTGATAGAAAAAAAAAAGTTTATTTCACATTTCTAAAATAAGTCATTAAAAAATAATTTAATAAAACTCCAGAGTTCTGTATGTTTATCTCCCTCAAACTTGACATCCTGATAAAAACATTGAAAGTTGAAAACATCAACTCAAAAATGCATTTAATACACCTAAACTTCCAAACATCATAGCCTAGCTTAGCCTACTTTAAACATCCTCAGAACATTAAGAATAGCCTACTGTAAGTAGGGCAAAGTCATCTAACATATAAAGCCCATTTTATAATAAAGTGTTGAATATTTCATGTAATTTATTGAATGAATACTGTACTGAAAGTAAAAAGCAGAATGACCGCATGAGTCAAGCATGGTTGTGTCAGCTATTTACCCTCATGACAGCATGGCTGATGGAGCTGTCCTGCCCAATTTGCGGCGAGCATCATGCTTCGTATCACCAGCAAAAGATCAAAATCCAAAATCTGAAGCACACTTTCTACTTAATGTATATCACTTTTGTACCATCATAAAATCTAAAGTTCATTAAGTCTGTCCATCACAAGCCAGGAACCATCTGTGTAAGGTAAAATGACTAACATTTTTTTTTTAAAAAAAGAATACTTCTGAATATATTTTCTTCACTCATAACATTTTAGCTCTAAGTATGCTTCTGAGACAGTGGTCACCTTCATAGAAAGACTGATTACCAAATATAGGTGGATTAGTTTTAGTAAGTCTGTGGACAAGTTCAAAGGGGATGTATTTTTCTGGAAAGCTTGTTTCAAGAGAAATGGTATGATTCACCAAAAACCCAAAATGGAACAAATGCTTTTAAAAGTCTTATTTTCCATATTCATAAGGTTAAAGTGAATGATAAAAGATTTGCTGATTAAAAAAATACATACTGTCTCAACATATAGAGGCAGTGTGGGTCTCATCATTGGCAAAGGCGGTCTTTAGTACCCAGCCCAGTAGAGAAAGTGGATATAAAAGATTACTGTTTAGTAAAGATAAAAGAACATAACGACTTAAGCTGATGGAAAGAATACCAAATGAGAGAGCAGGAAATATAAATAAGAAAGTAACCCTCAATATTGGAATGGAATATCGTAACTGAATTTCATTGTCTACTTAATTTCAGAAGTGTTCTTGATGTCTTAAACTTTATGCAAAGAATCAAAGAATGCAGCCTCCTTTAAAAGAAACAGCATTTTTGTTTTGTCTTTTTAAAGAAACAAAAATTTTACCACACTCTAAAAGGTCTTGATTAGCTTTCAAAAATGTAAAAAAATTTTTGGTCTGTGTTATTTCATTTTAAAAAGGTTAAATTAGGAAATAAGGAGGAAATATTGATAAGACTAGAAAACTGGAAGAGCAGAAGGGAAGAAGTGTCTGACTCAATCTCTCTACTGACCTCTCGAGAGAAATCAGACTGAAGAGAAGAGAGCACCTTTAATATCTTCACCGGCTGAGGTGTCACAGCAGAAGCAGGACTAGTCAGTTTTTATCGACTTGGGGGGTATGAGAAAATACCCAGTTGTGCTGAGGGAATAAGCAAGAGGAAACAGATCACATTTCAATAGCAAATGCCATTTAATGAGTATATATACACAGAACTTCTCTAGCCCTTTTTTGCAACAGGTGTGGATGGATCTAATGTCATTCCTGGGTGTGTGCACAAGGCAAAAATCAAGGTCAAAGTGGTCAATCACATACCGGGCAAAGAATGGATGAAGGCCCAGACATCATCAACTGTCCATATAGACGGCTCTGTTTGTGAAACTGGTAGCAGGTCACTGTTTTCAGGCATCTTCCTCATCCTCACATCCCGAAGCTCACGCTCTCTTTCCCGCTCACTCTGCCTACGCAGGCGTGTTGTCATAGCAGATGGCACAGAATCTTCGTGAGAAGCCAAGTCTTCTTCTGCAGATGGATAAGTAATTGGAAGCTGGAAAATGTAGTACAAGTAAAATACAGCATTGCACTTTCCTTGTATTTCTGAAAAGGGTATTGTACATTGAATCAAGGTTTCTACAGACCTGCCTAAGGATATGTTCTCTTGCTGCTCCATCAGGGCCACTCGGACGACGGCCACGATGCCCAAGACTTTGATTATCAGGCTTACGATTCCAACGACTAAGTGCAAATTTTTTAGAACAGCTAACATTGTACCTAAGAAATTCAAGTAAGAAAAAATATTAAATGATGTATGGGATGCTCCACTTAGTAATTATAACCTTAATTAAAGTGCAGTTGTGAATCAGTAAATGCCATTTATTTCATTATGGATTATAATAGCTCAGAAAGTAAATTTGTGTTCAATAAATTTACTTATGCTAATAGTAAAAAAAAAAAAGCCCTCATTATATATATTATAGCTCTCAATGTAATACTGGACACCTATAACAAGGTACTGGTATCTCCTAGTAACAGCATGATAATGGAAAACTTTCTGCAAAATACAAACAATAACACATTTTTGCAGGTGCAAAATAATTCAAGGTTCCAGGAGAAGAAAAAATTATTAGTTAACTATTTAGATGATCATTCAAATGGTTATTTTCTTGGGTAACCATTTCTGAAGAGATTTTTTAAAAAGAGATTACTATAGTAGAGAAGAGGAAATCTCAAATGGCTAGTAAAATATTTTTCAAATATAACTAAATTCAAAGACAGAAAGGTAAAGTTGAGTTATCAAAGTTATACAAGGAATTCATGGTTCTTAGGAATTCAGGAAATTCAAATATATTTAATTCTTTAAAACTGGCTGGAAGAGGACCTCCCTGGTGGACTAGCAGTTGGGAATCTGCCTGTCAATACAGGGGACACAGGGTGATCCCCGTCTGGGAAGACTTGGCGTGCTGCAGAGCAGCCAAGTGTGCGCCACAGCTACTGAAGCCCACAGACACAGAAGCCTGGGCCCCACAGGGGAAGCCGCCACAGCAGAAGCCTGGGCCCCACGGGGGAAGCCGCCACAGCAGAAGCCTGGGCTCCACGGGGGAAGCCGCCGCAGCAGAAGCCTGGGCCCCACGGGGGAAGGTGCCACAGCAGAAGCCTGGGCCCCACAGGGGAAGGCGCCACAGCAGAAGCCTGGGCCCCACAGGGGAAGCCGCCACAGCAGAAGCCTGTGCCCCACAGGGGAAGGCGCCACAGCAGAAGCCTGGGCCCCACAGGGGAAGGCGCCACAGCAGAAGCCTGTGCCCCACAGGGGAAGGCGCCACAGCAGAAGCCTGTGCCCCACAGGGGAAGCCGCCACAGAGAACCTCACACGCCGCAACTAGGGCAGCCCCTGCTCTCCAAACCAGAGGAAGTCCTCGTGCAGCCATGAGGACCCAGCACAGCCAAGACAGTTATTTTTTTTTTTAAAAACTGGCTGGAAGATTATTTTATCAGAACCAACTAATATTTTTAAGTGTATATTTTAATATATACATATTTTTTAATGTGGAATACTTTATTAACTTGCATATCATCTTATGCAGGGACCATGCTAATCTCTACAGCATTCTAATTTTAGCGTATGTATTGTCGAAGTGAGCACTCTTATGATTTTTTTAACATCGATCTTTATAAGGCCCTGGTGGCTCAGATGGTAGAGTCTGCCTGCAATCCAGGAGACATGGGTTCGATCCCTGGGTTGGGAAGATTCCCTTGGAGAAGGGAATGGCAACTCACTCCAGTATTCTTGCCTGGAGAATTCCACGGACAGAGGATCCTTGTAGGCTACAGCCCATAGGGTTGCAATGAGTCAGACACAGCCGAGCAACTAACACTTTCACTTTTTAAGGCATAATGACGGTTTAAAAGAGTCCTGTGAATGGGACTTTCCTGGAGGTCCAATGGTTAAAAATCCACGTTTCACTGCAAAGGGTGCAGGTTCAATCTCTGGTTGGGGAACTAAGATCCTGCACGTTATGCAGTGTGGCCAAAAAAAAAAGAAAATCTTTTGCCATTTATTAGGTTCCAACACCCTAAACAGAGGCAGGGCAATTTTTTCTATAAAGGGCCAGATATTAAATGTTTTAGATTTTGTAGGCCACACAAAGGTTCTGCCACAATTATTCAACTCTGTAACATAAAAGCAGCCAGACAGTAATGAATGAGAACAGATGGGTTCCAATAAAACTTTACTTAGTGACACCTGGGGCCTTCCTGGTGGCTCAGATGGTAAAGACTCTGCCTGCAACGCAGGAGAACCGGGTTTTATCCCTGGTTGGGGAAGATCGCCTGGAGAAAGGAACGGCTACCCACTCCAATATTCTTGCCTGGAAAGTCCCATGGTAGAGGAGCCTGGTGAGCTACAGTCCATGCAGTCACCGTCAGACATGACTGAGCAATACATTATACACAGTGACAATTAAATTTAATTTTATATAATTTTCACGTATCACAAAATATTCTTCTGATTCTTTTTCAACAACCACCTAAAAATTTAAATACTATCCTTCCTTCAGGGGCCATACAAAAATAGGCTACAGAAAGGACTCAGCCTGGGTATAGTCTGCTGACTCCTTCCCTAGAAAGAAGAGTGAAAAGAGATAATCTAAAAACAAATTTCTGAAAAGTTATAAAAAGGCTAAAAAAATGCACATAGTGCCTCTTTTTTTACTCATAAAATTGCTGTTGTAATTTCTTATTTTCAAAATTCTTTTTGAAACTCTTTTGCTCTAAGATGATTTTTCAGGGAAATGACAAGAATAAATCCCAGTTAACTTTGCTACTGAAAACTTTTACCAAAAGAAAATTCCCTCACTTATGTTTATGGAAATATCAATGAGGTGGAAGTAAGGAGTACTATAGAGAAAACAGGCTATTTTTCCCCTAAAAATATAAAACAGAAGAGAGTGTCCTGATGGTCACTTCATTTTACCCTAAAACAATTAAACAAGCTCCTCCTGTGTTCAATATGCTCATCTGTGGGCTCAGCTCTGAAAGTTTCTGATTTCCATTTACATCAACAAACTTCTTTCCCAACTAACTGAAGAAGAGAGAAGAGGGGCTAATTTGCTCTTTACTCCCTAAATACTGAGATATCGAAGAAAGATAGCTAGGCACACATGTAAACAGCATTTCTTACCTAACTTATCCTCTCCTCCTTACTCTTCTCTCCTCTATATTTTCCCACCTTAGGACCTCTAAGCCTCTAAAGAGCTTCACCTAAAGGTATACTAACCTGACACCTCAGCAATCATCTCTGGGAGAAGAGTGATGGTAGTGTGCTAACTGTCCTGAAATATTTCTGAACAGTTTAGAAGTTTAAAAGATTCTGAAAGGCAATCCTCCTCCCTCAGTTTTTAATCCCTTTGAATCAGAAAGCCACTATTCTTTCTTGTGGTATATGCAAACAAAATAGGAGTTACATAATTTGATTAGGACTATCAAAATAACATGAAAGAATATCTGAATAACAGATTGACAAATAAAAAACCATTAACCCATTTTCAGAGGAAAATACTTCTGCTTATTTGACTTAAGTTTTACAAAACATATTTTAGGTGCACCATACTAAATAATGTATTCATTTAGGGAGCAACAAATTCCCTAGATGTATCTTTAAGATCTTAAATTCCTTGAGAAAATAACTTTTGGAATACAGAACAAAGTTCAAAATAAACTGTGCACACACTTGACCTTCAGTGGGAAATACCTGTATTATGATTTATTAACAGAATTAGAGAGGCTTTCTTTAATGTAAACTAAATTTTGTGACTAGATCAATGAAGATACTAAAAAGGCTTTTGACAGTAGTACTATTTACCTATAATATTACTGAAAAAACATTTAGAAAAGACAGGCATTTTTGTTATCAAGTAATATAACAATGTGGAGAATTTATGCTACAGATGTCCCACTTAAAACCCTAAAATAAACAGGATATGGTTAAAAGAAATGAAACATTTTAAAATATAACAAAGTAAATCCAGGTATTTCAATATTGTTAAAACAAAGGACTAGCAGTGTATTCACAGGAGGGATTCTCCTCACCATATTCTTACCACCTGGAGATTGATTGCTACTTCAATATTCGATTATGCTATGTGTGTTATGAATACAGTTTTCGCCAAGTAAAATTTAACTAAATAGCAAAGTAGCTCCAGATAATGTCTATTTGATAGTATTCTTCTACAGTACCTAGTTTTGACTAATGGTAAACTCTACAAGTTTTTTAGTTTTGTTACAGCAGTTTTTGGCTTGTGCTTTAGGAAACTTGAGAACAGAAATACCTTTTGGCACATGACATAGTGCAGAATCGTTTTGACCGAAGAAACTCATTAGCATACCCCATCTTTCCACAAAATTCACACTTGAGCAACTCACTGTCCATTTCTTCTAATGTCTCTAAAAAAGAAAAAAGCAGAAAAAAATTCCAAAAACTTCAGTATGGCAAACTTTCTTTTAGCTTCTACTTTGGTGGGATGCTGCCAGTGTTCAGACCCTACAGGAGACTTAAAAGGAATGGTCTTTTAACTTTTCAATCCACAGCCACTTTGGCAAGGCAAAGCCCCCCAAACCACCACTTCCACCAATTCCCTCTGGCTCCTGCATAAAAATCTTACTGGAGTTTTCTCTATATAAATAAATAATACATTTTTAAAGGTTCATTTGCAAAGAATCCAACCTACCTAAAATGTGCAAATAAAGTCACTACCTTCCAAAAAGTATTATGAGTGTATGAATTTTGATACATTGTGCTATGTATAATATACATAGCAAAGAACACATTCTAACTGGAGAAAATGAGGACTCCAAAAAGAAGACTTTGATTTCAGAGGAGCATTTAAAACAGTTAACACTCTCTAAGATCTGCAGTGTACAACAGAATATATAAAGATGTATTTATCTAATTCTAAAAGTCCCTTTTAGTTATATTAAAATAATTTACATTTATCTCCAAAATTTTCAATAGTTTTGTAACTTCTAACCTCTGCTCTTTTCTGTCAGGGTCCTCTCTGTCAATTAGAATGTCCTTACTCTACCTCTGTATCCGTACCTTTCTTCGAGTCATACCACAGGACCTAAAGAAACTTCCCACCTACATCCTCAAGTATCCAGCAGCAGTCACCTATAAGCAAGCAGCTTAATCTTTAGAACCCAACAGTTTTCTCATCTGTAAAATGGGGCTTATGACACCTTCCCAAAGAAATGTAGTGAAGATTACATGAATGCCTAGCAGGTAGCAGACATAAGAGAGTGACAGTTCCATTTCCTATCTTCCACGTAAGAATCAGGAGTGCCAAGACCTATAACAAGTAACTTAAACACTTCAATGAAAACTGTTTAACTCTTAAATCACCATATTTTACCATTTACATGCATCATCGTAATTCCTATGCATCATATAAAATATACCAAAAAAAGGAACTCTAACTAAAGCTTTTAGCTATGAGTTCTTTATGTGCTTTTCTATGTTATTCACTTAACCAAGACTTATTAAGATGAAGAAAGGGACTCTGAAATGTAGACATGAACAACATGCACTCATACATTCAAGGATCACTTTATCCCAGTGTTACTGGAGAAGCAAATGGCAAAGTGCTAAATTAAGTGAAGGCAGCAAAAACACACTGTGAAATATCTGAAGTGTCAAAAGACATCCAAAGACACTGTCATGACCAGTCAAGTCATAAACTAGCAAATGATCATCTCAAAGAAATTCTCAGGACTATCTTCATAAGCAAACTCATCTATTTAGTGGCAATGAGGAAGAAAGAGTCTCAAACCAAGTAAGGTAAAAACTGTTTCTTCCAATGACCCAGAGATGGCTTTCACACAGCTCTGCCCACAGCACATTCCTGGCACCTAGTGTCGTAACTTCCAGGAGTACTGCTTCTAGTTTGTCATGCTTATAACCAGATATGACCTTGAAAAGCCTGTACTGGATATAGAACCTCTCGTTTGACCACCAATCCAGCCCCAAGGAGCCCATTCTTTGGGCTGTTTCATTTTGACTCTACTGAAAGCTTTATTTCAAAACTTTGAATTAATTAACATAAAAATATGCAACACTTGATAATAGGTTAGACAACCTTATGAAGGTGAAGGAAATGTTTTTGTTGACGAGAGAGGCGAGATCCCAAACAGGTATGGTCTAAGGGTTAACAATCTGACAAAAATTTCACATCAGTTTTATTTCTCATAAAGAAGAGAGGAACATTAACAGATTCAAAGAAGTCCAGTTCTAATTTTGGTCAGAATTTCAACAAATTTGGTAATGTTACCAAGGTACTTTTTCACATTTGTAAATAAAAAATTACAGAGCCAAATAAGTTTTTAAAAACTACTGCTTAAGATAATAAAGATGGGATTCTATAGAGATAGCTGGCAGTTCCCTTATATCAGTTCTTCACTTTTCTCCCCCAGTAACAAAAGCCTAACTTTTAGCTAGGAATATAGCCACTGAGAATAAAAAGCACAACTGCTGCCCTATGTGTGGCCAATTTCTGACCAAATTCCGGGTGATGCCCTTCTTACTGATTACAATGTTATCATGAAGATTAGCTATCTTGGAAAGCTATCATGTCAGCTATGAGACACTGACAGCTTATGTGCCCAACATAATGGAGCCCTGCGCTGCTTACCTTTAGACTATGTCAGAGAAAATGAAACTTCTTACTTAACCAGGTATTAGTCTGGGTGTCTAATGGAGTGGCCAAACATATACCCTAACTAACAGAGATCCCTAATTTTTTTTGTGCCAAGAGGAATTATTTTTCAATTTTCCTGAAGACTTGAGATCACGTGATGATCAGCAGTAAGAAGGCAATGAGACAGAAACCATCATCAGCATGATGATTTACCAGAGAAGATTTAAGACACTTTGATAAATCACATTTTAGATGGAGATTCTGGTCCAAACAGAGATACAGTTAATCCTTTAAAAAAAGAATAATCATTACACTAAGTTTTTCATACTGAATTAAACTGCATACACCCGTAAAGCCAAAGCCACTAAATAAATGACCTCATCATTTCACTCTATAGTACTTCCCATAAACACTGAAATAAGTATACAGTAACAAAAATACTTGATAAAAATACCATGGGAAATTACGAAGTATTTTAAAAACTGATATTTTCAGTAAACATATCTCCACTATGAAATATTCATCTTTTTTAGCCACAGTTAACATATAACATTGTGTAAACTTAAGGTGTACAAGATGTTAATTTGATACATTTATACAAGTGACTGCCTCAGTAGAAATTCTGAACATTTCTATCACATTACATTTTTATCTTTTCATTTTAGTCACTGGGATAATTAAGTGTTAGCTTAAGTTAGGCTGATGATTATAGTACAATAGTCAATATTCATTATACTGTACATTAGATTTCTATGGCTTATTTATTATTCATTGCAAAGATTAATCTTTAAACGTGCCTTTTCCTTACTCTGGTATCCTGTTCGTTAAAAACTACTCTTTGCCTTGTCTTCCATCAATTCTTTCCTTCCTCTTCCCACCGTGACTACAAGTATCAATCACATGCCAAACCTCTACTATTCATCCACACACGACCAGCAGTTTCAAAAACATTTTTTCATGTCATCTGGCTAAAAATTTTCAGTAACTATCCTCTTGACAGCAAAATAACTCCTACTTCCATAATCGAATCTCAAGGTATGCTAGAATCTGACTCTGCCTTACTGCCCACTATCCTCTCTAACCCAACTGCCTACTCTTCACTGCCCCTTCCTGAAGTTACTGAGCACTTGCACATCTTCTGTGCATTTATTCATGGTATGCTAACCTGAGAGGTTCTTTCTGTTACCTTAAAATCTATGCTTTATCATCCAAGACCCAAATCAAACCCCCTCTTCACTGAAAACTCACCAGTCTGGCAATAATATCACCCAGCTTTAAAGTGCCATGTTCTTACTGTCTATATAATTCACTTAATACCTAGCATATGCTGCCTCTTAGTTATCTTTCTGTTGTAGAGGTTGCTACTTCTTATTAGATCAAAAGCTCCCTGACGTTCTAGCACAGTCCACCATGTGTTCTATATATGTTATAAACCATGAGCATCACAAAGTATGCTGTGAAGTTTCCTAGGCAGTTTTCCATTTTTCTCCAATATGCGCACGCACGAGGGCACATTATGTAGCTTATTAGCCTACAAAACTTTTGCTTATACACTTATATAGGCAAGAAAAAAAAAATCCCTGTACATTTGTCTTTACTACTCATCTCAAATGAAAAATTCTCAGATATATAGTATGCATAACTATAATAAAAGCAAGTACTTAGGAATTAAATGCAATTAAATTCCTAACAACAAAAGGCTTCCCTGTGGCTCAGTTGGTAAAGTACCCTGCCTGCAACGCAGAAGATCCACTTTCAATCCCTGGGTGTAGAAGATCCCCTGGAGAAGGGAATGGTAACCCACTCCAATATTCTTGCCTGGAGAATCCCATGGGCAGAGGAGTCTGGACAGACAGTCTGTGGGGTCGCAGAGTTGGACACAACTGAGTGATTAACTCTTTACTTACTCCTAAACCACCACCAGGCACTTTTTGAATCCTGATTTGAACAAAATAACTATAAAAGGACATTTATACAATTTAAGTAATTATACAATTGAGGAAATCTGAATATAAACCAGGTACTAGATGACAAAGAATTATTATTAGTATTGTTTTGGGTGACACAGCATTAAAATATACATTTTATAGATGCACACTGAAGTATGTACTAGTAAAATACAACAAGAACTATGATTTGTTTTTAAACAGAGGAAGAAGGGAAGAAAAGGGAAAGAGAAAAAGAGAAGGAGGAATGTAGGAGGAAAAAACAAAGGGATGCATGAAGCTAACTTCGCAAAATGATGTTTAAAACTGGGTAATAATACTGAGTCTGCGTGAGCCGAGATTTATTATACAGTTCTAATTTTAAGTTATGTTTGAAATTTTTCATGTTTAACTCTTTTAAATAAAAAAAAAATCAAACTGAGTTCAACATAAGTTAGCAATAAAATATTTTATACTACTATCAGTTCTTTGCTATTCAGATAACAAGTAAAACAGTGATAAATACACTGCAACAGTCCATATGTTACCAATAATGACAGAGATGCCTTCCTCTTAATTAGAAAACTGTGAGCCAAGTCAATATCTATTTTGCTTACCAGCATGCTATTTTACTTAACTTAGCAAAGTACAGGCGCACAGTATATATTCAGTAAACATTTACAAACTGAATAAATTTAGATGAAATACACTAATATATTCAGGATAATTACTTAGACACAGATGTTAATTAATTCACAATTGTACAGCCCCAACCATACTACACGCTATTTAATTGAACAGCATCTACTGCAGAGCCATGATCAGAATCAATAAAAAACATCGTTTTTCCATTTGTGTTTGTTTTCCTGAAGTCACTTTGCATACCACTTTAATGAAATATTCACTGGTAGAACAAGGCCTATAAAAAAAAGATTCTTTGACACTGAGAAGATTTAGTGATATTTTCCTCCTTGAGCAAACTTAGTCATCTTCTGATTGAAGACTTAACATAACTGTTAATACCCACCTGATAGCAAACATAAGAATACATAAAATCTAAAACCAAACAACCAGGAAGCTCTAAATTTTTAAACAAGCTCAGTAAAATAGTCATTTACTAAAGTCTGTTTAAAGAAGAAAATTCGTTGTTTTGATCCTAAAATTTTGAACTGCTTTCATATATAATGGAAATTTTCCCACTCACGTTCCTTCAAAGGGCAAACTGGTATTATAAAAATTAACACCAATCTTGTTATTTTAATTTCATGGCCATTAAGAGTCTGGTTGGAGTTCCCATTATTTTAGTCAAATAATGCATATATGACAATAAAAGTAAATACTTCCAAGGGAAAAATCTGTGTATAATAAAAATCCATGTTCTGATTCAAGCAGTAAATGCCAAAGTTAAAAGAGTATCTTAAAGAAAAATCCACAAACCTTCAGCAATCATGTCTTCCATCTCTGTGTCAGATGAATTATCTGCATGCTTTGCATTATTCTGCAGCTCTGGCTGAACACACACAGAATTTATCACCTGATTATCCAAAACAGGCCTTCTTTTCACAGGCTGTTCAATCAGCAAAGATGAACGACTCACCTTTAAAAGACAGAACAAAAAATAAATAAATAAATAAAAAACAGAACAAAATGAAATCTTTTTAAAGACCTTCAGAAATAATTTAGTTTAAAAGTCTCTTGAAATCAATAGGATCTGTGATAATTTACCTGTACAACTGATCAGACCCATTCATTTATTTCTTGAGAAAAGGTTATGTTCAGGTTGCCTGAACACTTTATATACAGCTCATGAGCAGTTATGACCAAAGTCTCAGTCAAATGGAACCAAGGGTCTTTGTTTAGGTGGGTAGGCTAAAAAAATCTTTTAAAAAATCAGTAATAAATTGTGATTATAAGAACCTTTACCTTTTTCTTTTTCTGCAACAACCTTTAAGATTGATTTTTCATGCACAAACTTTTAATTTATAGGATTCTTTCCTCAGGATAGATCATTACTGTATTTTAAAGATAAGGGAACTAATATTCAAAGTGTGCAGGTGATTTCTTTCTAACAGCAGAAACAGGACTAGAACTCAAGTCTCCTGATTCCTAGTTAAGTAACCTATTTTAATCATAAATAAAAATGGAAAATTCCTCAAACATTAACATCAAAATCAACAAAAATACAGTCACTTATGTTCAGTACACCAATTTAAGTCATGAAAACTACTTACTTTAGAAATGCTTTCAGCAAAAATAATCTATACCAAAAGTATTTACTCACTTACTAGTGAACCCTCAGCTAATCTTAAAAAACAGAACCTTTGATTCTATTTGAGAATGCTGGTCAAGTCTCCAACATTTTCCATACATAGTGAACAACCGCTTATTGGAACTTTTTACATGTAAGCCTGGAGAATAATCACCCATAAACTTTTTTTTTTGGCCTCACTTGCAGGGATCGAACCCAGCCCCTGCAGTGAAAGCACCAAGTCCTAGCCAGTGGATCACCAGGGAATTCTCAACCCATAACCTTTTAAATTGTGTTTATTTCAGTTTATATATGTAATTATGTCTCAAATAAAATTAGTGGAAATTATTGCTGAAAAAACCAGTATTGAGTGCTTATGATTAGAGCATACACTTAGGGTATATGGATAAATTTAAATAGTCTTCCAGAAAATGATTTGCCAATATATATCAAGAGTCTTATGAATACATATGTAATGTGATCTAAACACCTATACTCCTGGGAATTTATGCTAAAGAAATAATATTTAAAATGTGGATTTCAAATGTGGATAATTTACATACAAGGATATTCCTTTGAACAGAAAAAAAAAAAAAAAATGGAAACCTAAATGTCCAACAGTATAGATGTCCCTCAGTATCTGCAGGGGATTGATTCCAGGACTCCATAGGGTACAAAAACACGCAGATGCTCAAGTCCCTGATGTAAAAATGGAGCATTATTTGCATATAACCTGTGCACATTCTGCCATATGGTTTAAATCAGCATACTGATTTGAATACTGGAATGGGTTGCCATTTCCTTCTCCAAGGGGTCTTCCCAACCCAGGGATTGAACCCCAGTCCCCTGCATTGCAGGCAAACTCTTTACCATCTGAGTCACCAGGGAAGCCCTTTAAATCACCTCTAGATCACTGATAAGACCAAAAACGATGTAGATACGAAGCGAACAGCTGCCTGTGCATGACAAATTCAAATTCTACTATCTGGAATTTTCTAGATTTCTTTTTTTTTTTAGATTCTTGATCTACAGTTGGGTTAACTCCCCAGTGTGAAACCTGTGGATATTGGGGGGGGGGGGGGGGCCAAACTGTAATTGAAGGATTATATAAATTATGACAGTCCAGAAAGTGAAATATTAGGTAACCTTTCAAAATGTTTCCAAAGTACTATTAATCAAATGAGAAAATAAATGTTCAAAATATACTAAGCAAAAGAAGCTGATCTGTAAGGAATTCCCTGGCGGTACAGTGGTTCAGATCCTGCACTTTCAATGCCAAGGACCCAAGTTCAATCTCTGTTTGGGGAACTAAGATCTCACAAGAAGAAAGGTGTGGTCGAAAAAAATTTTTTTTAATAATAAAGGGAATCTGAACTGTATATACAATTATAGTCCTGATCATATGAAAATATATATATTAAAATACATTTTGTGGTATTACTATTTGCTCTGTACATTTTCCAAATTTTCAGTGAAAAAATAATACATATTACTACATAGAACAGTTACACACATTTAGTCTTCACAATAACCCTAAGAGCAAAATATCATCTCCATCTGCTGGATGAGCAAATGAATTTCAAAAAGGTTGAGTGACCTGACAAAGGTTACAATTTCAGTATATGGCAGAGCCAGGACCCAATCTCTGAGATTAGGGAGAAAAAAACCGTTTCTCCACTCACTAAATCAGAGGTTCTTAGATCCAAGTTTAATATACACACAGTAAACTGAAAACAAAGGCAACTGGCTACAGTTAACTATCACTGTGCAATCATAATGCCCTGCCTATGAATCTGAAAAATCAGATGCTTCAAAGGCCTTCAAAATACATAATTTTGGATTCTCGTGTCTTTGTTTGGGGCTTTGATTTTGGCCACTTGTCTTGGTATATTTCCTAAGGAAAAATGTTCATTTCTAGACATAACATGTAATGTAGCTAACGAAGCTGTAATGTATAGCTAGTCTCAAATCAAATTACTTAAAGTGATAGGATACAGCATCTCAATTCTGATGTGTACATTTTGAAGCATTTTTAAAATATGATTGAAACCTGAGATTTAAAAAATAAGAAAATCTATTTTTAAAAACCATCAACTGGATAATTTCAGATATAAAGATCATTGGGAAGTTACTGTTTTCTGTATGCAAGTTAAAGTTCACAAGTATCACATTATACAAGAAACACCTTTTAAAAGAAAATACACTTCTGATGTTATTTCGATCCCCTTAAAGGGGAAAAACAGAAAGCTTCCTTCAGAGTGAACATCTAATTGCCTTCTCTAAAAATTATAAAACTAATATCCTTATGCCCTAAAACTGTTTGCTTCCATCTTATACATCTAAATAGCTAGCATAAAATTCTAGAACTACTGATAAAAATGGAAATATATAAAGGAAAGACAGAAAGAAATTCTCTAATTTTTTTTTTGACCCCATGGACTGTGGTCCTCCAGGCTCCTCTGTCCATGGGATTTCCCAGGCAAGAATACTGGACTGGACTGCCATTTCCCTCTCCAGGGAAATTAGTAACTTTTGAAGTAAGTTTTTTATTAGAGAAAATACATTAAGAGACCAATAGATCATACATTTTAAAATTATGCTACATGAATAATTTTGAAAATGCAAATTTGCTTGCTACTTACAGGAAATGGCTCCAATCCCTCCTGAATCACAAAACCTTCAATAACATGGGTCAAGATCTGTGGCTTAACAATAGCCTGTGGAGGTTTGTTTTCAACACTAGGTGCGCTACTGGGCATAGATGTACTATTACTTCTTGTGGTAGCAGCTGGAAGTAAGAGCGGAGGTGGAGGAACAGAAACATGTGAAGGATCTGAAGGAGATTTAATTACTGAAGCGCTGACTGATGCCACTGCAGGTAATTCTACTTGCTCTGGAAAAAAAAAAAAGTCATTTCTTAAATTTGTACCATTCTGCCCAGGCAAATATGAAAGAAAACTGGAGAACATTAACAACAGTAACAGTTAATGTCTTATGTTTTAAAAAAAATTCTGAGACCCTTATATTTATTATCTCATCTCTCCACAATTCATGCTAAGTCACTTCAATAGTATCCGACTCTTTGAGACCCTATGGACTGTAGCCCACCAGGCTTCTCTGTTCATGGGATTCTCCAGCTAAGAATACCAGAGTCGGTTGCCATTTCCTCCACCAGGGGGTCTTCCCAAGCCAGGGATCCAACCTGCCTCTCTTGTGTCTCCTGCATTGGCATGTGGGTTCCTTACCAGTAGCACTACCTGGGAATCTCCACAATAAGATGAGATATGAGATATGTACTACTGTACCCATATACAGTGGAAGGCAGCAACTTGCTCAAAGTTAGCATTCCAACTTTGCTTAAAAAGAACTGTCCCATAAGACATGAAAATGTTTTAGAATGTCAACTTAAGAACAATTATTTTTAATTTTAAGCTACAGTTATTAAATTTCCTATGTTTCTATTCATATATTCCAAATGGTACTAGGGAGGGCAGAATATGCTTAAGAAAAAAAGGATCATGAAATCAACAGAATAAATAGAAATTATAATGAATTATACAGGGCATTACCTTTATTTCAAGTAATCCACAACCATGCACAAATGTTCTTTGCTGTTGCTATTTTTAACAAATCTTCAGTGACACTGTACATGTCAGTTTGCAGGAACACTGTAGTACCAGGCAATTGCAAAATGTTGGGCTAGTTCATTGTGGTTTCTCCCAGGCAAGCTCTGGGGACCACAATAAGACAGATCCACAGCCTATGACAGAGACTTTACCCACCCATTTGTTAGCACTGAACCTTTACCAAGCTGTACCAAAGTGGAGAGATGGAACCAAATGATAGCCAGGAATACCAGTGAGTACAAGATGGCTGAGAGAGGTAACACCACCAAAAATGGGGCATGTGGTAAAGACAAAACCACTACTTACTGAACACTTATGTGCCAGCACTTATATGTATAAATGTCCTACACGTTGTAACACATTTAATCCTAACTAGCCTGGGTGCTGCTGCAGCTGCTGCTAAGTCGCTTCAGTCATGTCCGTCTCTGTGCGACCCCACAGACGGCAGCCCACCAGGCTCCCCCGTCCCTGGGATTCTCCAGGCAAGAATTCTGGAGTGGGTTGCCATTTCCTTCTCCAATGCATGCATGCATGCTAAGTCACTTCAGTCGTGTCCGACTCCATGGACAGCAGCCCACCAGGATCCTCTGTCCACGGGATTCTCTAGGCAAGAATACTGGAGTGGGTTGCCATTTCCTTCTCCAAGCCTACGGGTAAGTACTGTTATCATCTCCATTTTATAGTTGTGGAGGAAAAAAAAAAGAGACAAAGATTAACTTGCCTAAAGACATACAGCTAGTGAGTAGTGGAGCTGGGTTACTAACAGAGACAATGCTTTTAACTCCTATGGTTAACTCCTCTCCACCAACAGTATGAAAAGAATTGATATCACTATCAAAGATGCTCAAACATAGCCCAGTCAGGTAGAGAAGAAAGAAAAATCCCTATCAAATAAAAATTTCAGAGACCTCTTTGGCGGTCCAGTGGTTAAGAATCCACCTGCCATTGCTGGGGACACAGGTTCAATCCCTGGCCCAGAAGGACCCCACAGCTGCAGGGCAACTAAGCCCGTACACCACAACTACTGAGCCTGAGCATCTCAGTCAGTGCTCTGCGATGGGAAGCCACTGCGATGAGAAGCCACTGCGATGAGAAGGCCTTGTGACGCAACAGAGAGGGACCCCCACTCGCCGCAACTAGAGGAAGCCCGCAGGCAGCAACCGAGAACCAGCACAGCCAAAGATAAACAGACAAAAATTTCCACTAGTAAGACCGTGCAGTGAGAACTGGTACAGGGTCAGAAAAGGAAAAGCTAATGGTTCACACCTAGTAACTTTGACGTAACTAGTATTACTATACAGCTTATTTATCACAGCAATATTATGTCCATAAATTTACCTTGTTCCACCAAATAATCCACCAGGATAAACTGTACTAGAAAACCTATTTAAAGTGACACAATCCCTCATTAAAAACTAAAAGTCAGCAGGAAATACTGATTTGCTTACTTCCAGGAACAAATACAGGTACAAATTGTTTTCCAATTGTACACATGTATTACAAGACTGAGAAACCCCATAAAAATCCTATCCCACATGCCTAATTTTCACATATACTCCTAGAGAAAAAGGGATAAAAGATAATTCTGAACAGAAACTGAAAAGCAATTTTTCTATTGGAAGGGAAATACAAATCTATGGAGAGCTGAAAAAATAAGAAAAATTTAATGTCCCCTTACAGATTTATAGATACCACATTAAGCATAATGTTGTTTATTCAGAAAATACTGCTTGGTATATATGTTCTAACTGATTTTTGGATCATATATACAAATAGACCTAAGTTTTATTGAAAACTTATGAGTTACTGACTTTATTAAGAATGTAATAGCTTTTACATGCCGGTTCATAATCAGCTGGTAAAATCAAAAACATTACATAGTAGAACACACACAATTATTATCCTCTCTAGATTTAAGAAAACTGAATCGAGAAACCCCAAGTTAACTGATAAAGACTTTGCCACAAGTTACTCTGCCTATTTGTAGTTTCATTTCCTGAGCGAAACCAATGAGTTTGTTCTACTTTTTTATAGATGCTTTTCATTTTATTTTTATTTACTTATTTTTGGCTGCGCTGGGTCTTTGCTGCTTTGCGTGGCCTTCTCTAGCTGTGATAAGTGCAAGTTTTCATTGCGATGGCGTCTCTTGTTGCAAAGCACATGCTCTAGGTGTGAGGGCTTCATTAGTTGTGTCTCACAGTCTCTGGAGCTGTGGTGCCCAGGCTCAGTCGCTCCACCGTACATGGAATCTTCCTGGATCAGTGATGGAACCCATGTCTCCTACATTGGCAGGTGGATTCTTATCCACTGTGCCACCAGGGAAGTCCTTTACGGATGCTTTAAGAATTCTTACAGAACTCATATGAAGACTGAATCCTGGTGGAAACAAGTCACTCTATTTTTATAGGTTAGTTTATTATATGATTTGATAAGCAACCTGTACTTGCTTTTCCCTCTCATATACTACAGAAAAGTAGTTAAGCATGAAGAAAATTAAAGGAAGATTCAAAAATTTATAGTTTACTCAGACAATTTAGCCAGAGGAATATGCCTGCCAGGGTCTCAGATTATATTTCTAAGGAAATAATGTGAAGATATTGTCGAGGTTCAGTATTTCAAAAGTATTTAAATTTTCTTGAGTACCATTAGTAATGCTTATTAGGTAATTAAATCACAGCCACAATGCAGGGTTAGTATCCAATTAAATATATATTTCTGCCTTTAAATAAAAACTCCCAAGATATCTGCAGCAACATGAATCCCATTTCAGTGTACAAAAACTACAAAGATTTAATACTATAGGTAAGTTTTTAGATCTTTTGAGGTATTATTTTGAATAAGCAAAGGCAATGATACTGAATTTGTCTTAAATATTTTTCATAATTTTATTAAATGTTTTCTCTTTTTCAGGAAAGAGAAAAAGTTGGAGTAAAATTGGTTTTCTAGCTCCTTGCAATGGAGATTCACATTGGCAGTAAGAAATAAAACCTAGAAAGAAGAGAAGGGTTAGAGATGTGGCACGCTGAAAAAGGAGAGGCTAAGTCAGTGCCCCATTATAGTTTGTTTCCATGCCTGATAATATTGGTTCCTCTCAACTAAACATGATCCTGAAGGCGATGAGATATTCAATAGGACAGAATACTTACAACAAAGCCTAAATCAAGATTGGCATTATCTGGGAGAGGGATCAGTAAACATTTTTATAAAAGACATATGGTCTCTACAATGACCCTCTTTGCTGTAGTAGTGTAAAGGTAGCCATAGATAATATCTGAACAAACGTGGCTTAAGGTGGCTATGTTGCATAGAACTTTATTTATGGACAATGAAATTTGAATTTCATATAATCTTCACATGGCATGAATTACTCTTCCTTTAATTTTTTTCCCCCAAATATCTAAAAATTTTAGACCTATCCTTGGCTCATTGGCCATACCAAAACGTGTAGCAGAAAGATCTGAAGCATGAGCTATCATTTGCCACTCCCTGATCTAAATAAAATACTCAAAATTAAAAAAAAAACAAAAAACCAACACCTAATCCAGAACATATCTTTTTTAGGACTTAGATACTGGGCTATATAGATCATAATGTTCCAGTGAAGTACCTAGGATTCACAGTCACTTTGATAATGTGCAGAGGAGAATAGAGAGGATTAACTTGAACTCATAAGTAGTTCTAAAGTAGTGAATAAGAATTTGAAGGTGTTAGCAATTTTTTAATCCATGTCTCTAGTAAGAATCAGTGTGGCTTAATTTAAGTACTGTCCAGGAAGCAATATCTTTAAAAGCATTTACTCAATCTGGATCACAAGCAATTATGAGGAATGTCAGACATGACTTCAAATGCTTTGTGATTTTTGGAGAGTGTAATTGAAATTTTCTAATAGAACTTTGCCTTATTCTAATTTTTATGCTAGAAATAGCTTGACAAATAAATCTGAATAAGCATAAGAAATACATGTACAAACTACTAAAACTTCAAAGACTGAAATGTGTTTTTGATTTGGTAATTGTTTATCATCAAAAAAAACTCTTGAATTCTAATCTATGTTTTGCTGCAATTTTATTATATAACAAATTGGTTTAAGATCATCTCCAGTGGGAAAAAAATGAACTTTTTCCATTACTAACATTTGCCTAATAGAAATTTCCCCCAAATTTAAGCACCTCCTCACCTAACAAGGGATGCTCAGAAGTCAAATCTTCTCCTCTCCCCACAGTTATAGCTGCTGGAGACAGTGTGGGTGGTGGTGGCGTTCTATCCATCCGGACACACTCTTCTGACTCTTCTGGCATTTCTTCTTCACAGACATCTTCCACTTGATAAACCTACGACGACAAACCACACTGCCTAAAAATGTTTGTAAGATATATTTAATAAGGTGTTCCTAATTTAATTAACAAAATAAATTCTAAGTGTTTTAAAATGTAAAAGACAAAATGACTATTTGATCGATTGAAAGAGAAGCTTTAAAATCATTCAAATGAAGTTTTTCATAATACTTGACGATTCATAATACCTGATGATATTTCACTGGAAGCAAGTTGTGATCAGTACCTAAGTTATAAATCACTAAGGTTTTCCCAAAAGGTGATAGTTGAATCAGAATTACTTTTAATTTTGTTAATTTTTTAAAATGTTTTGATTTTATACACTCAACTATTTGGGGAGTTTACTAACGTTTCTATTAACTTTCAATTGTCATAAATCAAAACAGGTACTAATATTTTTCAAAGCATGTTAGGTGAATTTCCAAAATGACACATATTATATAAAGAAATGCACTGCCTAAATGACTATATCCCAAGCTCTTCTTTACTGTATTTATGTAAATTAAAGAGTGAATTTTGAAAAGTAATGCCTGAGAACCTACAAAAAAAGTATGTGATTACATTTTTAATCTTCTAATCTATTCAAGAATCTAATGAATTTTTATAAGCTAATTATCAAGTAAACAAAAAATATCTGTCCCTGGAATCACACACACACACAGCACCCCTCCCCCACACCCATCCTAAACCATTTGACGTACTACTTATAGTTCTTTAATACTGTTCCATACTTACAGACCAAGTTTTTACATTTCTAACTGCCTTGTTATCCAATGGTAAAGATAACACTTGAGGAAAACGGACTCAAAAGCACTCTGAGAAGGAACTTTATAACTAAAAAATATGTAACCTACTATTGATTTTTATTAAAATTAAGGCTGAATTTTCAAAGTCCACTTGTACAAACTGACACAGGTATTTTAATTTGTCCTCATTTTTATTGAACCATTGTTTTTGAAAAACAGGTTATTAAAAACAAAGCCACAAACCAATTTACCCCCCTACTTTTATGTACAAAGCTTATTACTTACATTTATAAAAGTGAGTTTTTAAGATAACTTACCCGAAGTGATTAATATTTCTAATATCAAAATAAAAAAGTTTCAGTAACATTCAAAAAAAAATTTTTAATGATATTGGTATCTAATATATTTTTAATCAAACTATTGGAAAAGTTTGATGGTTTGAAATTAAAAATGATCAAGATTTCTGAAACCAGCATAAACCATGTGTGAGAAAAAGGACTATGAAGTTTTACCTACAAAGGCATATCTTAACAACAGCAATAGAATTTAAAAACCAAACAAAAAAACTAATCTTTCAACTCTACTAAGAAGAAAAAAAAATCCCTTTTGTTTTAAAATTTTTAAATTCCTATTGTTACTGCTAATTTTATTAAAAAATAATATTCAGAGCTGTGATCTGAATCAGCTACTAAGTAGGCAACATTTTAGAAAAGTTATTTGCTCTCAACCCTGCATCTGAAAACCTGTTTCACCAAGAGAGAGTCCTTGCCTCGTGTTTGGATCCTCGGGAGTGAAAGCAGTCGTTGTTTATTGTACAGTGCAAGAATGATAGCTGCTATTATCTGTTCATGATAAATTTTCTTAAAATGGGGATAATGTCCAATATAAGGAAAGTCATCCAAAAAAAAGTCCTGGGGGTTAAAGTAAAAACAAAAAAACTTCTAATGAGGGGCATCTGCTGCAGCAGTCATTACCTTAATTTAGCAGGTGGGGATGTTGATGCATAGGTAATTACACAAGTAACAGTTTTATCAACTACACTAGTTCAGTTCTATCTATGTAGCATTCCTTTATTAGATAATTACTCTTCTTACAAAGAGCATCTTTTCCTTAAGTGCCGAAAACGTTATAATATTAAAGTTGTCACAAGTTTTTCAAAAAGCTATTACAAGCTTTTACGGAATCAAAGATCATGGAGATCATGCATATAATTCTGATTTTTAAAAAAATAGGAAAAGAGTTTTAAAGGATTAAAAGAGGCAAATACAAATAGCATATTCTGAAATAATCCATCAAACAATCCTGTAAAATACTTTTCATTCTTTACAAGTAAGCCTAACTATACATATTTTATTCTAAATCTCCCACGTGAAAGCAAAATAAAGAAAAAAAGAAGTAGGCAAAAACAGACCTGTCACAGACACCAGCACCATCAACATAAAAAACATAAGTACAACAACTGAAAGACTGAATAAAGCAAAGAAGTGAAGATTTTGCTCACAAGATCATTTGGAAACTGTACATTACAATTTCTCTTTAGTTCATAACTATTCTATAACTAACAATGGCTGCCAAACTTACCTCAAAGTACATCAGCCTCATCTGTCTCCCTTCCCTAAATAAACTGTGGAAAACATTTATTAGTTCTAAATTATCTACACTCATCATATCCTATTTATCATACCCAAATATCAATGAAAAATCTTTAAAAAAAAATACTGATTTTACTATGAAAATTCACACTTATGTTTGAAAATTTCACATTATTTAGAAGTAAATACTTATTATTTCTCTTTAGAAGTAAACATCTCTCTACCTTTAAACATTTGAAACAACCTGGAAACTGTGAAGGAATGAGTAATTCATGAAGAAATCTGATGGTAAAAAAATAATTTGATAAAGGTAATAAAAGAAAAATACAGCAATGTAATAAACAGGCTATGGTACTCAAAACTAAAAGAAAAGTTAACATGGAAACATATACAGCAAATATAACCATACTAGTGATAGCAAAGAAAACTCATGAAAAAAATTCCAAAAATTAGGTAACATAAATTTTAAGAAAAAAGCACAAAATTAATAGAGGGCAGAAAATAACAACATCTTAGATATTTTTAGCTTTAATTTAATGCAAGTGTTCTGTTTTTGATATTTGTATCCCCAACAGTCCTCAAGATTTGCCCTAACAAAAATAATTAGAAAAATCAAAGGCATAGAGAGGAACTTTATTTTTAACTTTAAAAGCCAATTCACTGAACTACAAATTAAGAACATAAATTCAAATTAAATTTGATTTCTCTGAAAGTACTGTACACCTTAAAGACTATGTTTTTATGTAACATTATCCATTGTAAACTCTTCAAAAAATCTATTAAAAGAAAATATTGAAATGTGAACTTATTTCTAGATGGCCACTGTTACCTTTGCAAAGTTCTGTTCTGAATAAAAGTAGAATTCAACCACTTCATGCTTATCAGTCAGAATGACAAGAATGAAGAATCTATAAATTTGTATCCTGAGAATCAAAATGTTTTCCATTAAGGAACAGACTTTAAAACTCCTTTCCTTTCTGAGCTAATGGTTATTTTTATTTAAGTGATAAGATCTCTTCAGTGAGGTTTGATATAAATCTCCTTTGGGAATACTGTTTTCCTCAGTTATAAATTTGATCATTCTAACATTTAGAGAACTTATTTCAACTTTATTATAAATTATTTTATAAATTTTAAAAGTCCTTTATAGAATGTTTAAAAGACAAATGTTTTTACAGAATAATTTTCCTTTCTGGGCAATATGTGCCATTTTTAGAGGTTTATTTTGATAAATTTCACCACAGTCTCAGTTATTCAAAACTTTTATTCCTCTCAATGAATTTTTTTATTCTTAGTATTCAACTCATCATTCTCAGCTTTTTAAATGAGAAATATTTCAAGTATATGTTTTCCCTTAGTAGAAATTTAAAAATCAGAAGTTACAACTCTAAAAGATGGACTACAGTTAATGTTTGTTTGCAAAGTTGGATTCTCTCCTAGAGTAACTTTTATAAAATTTTAATTATAAAATGTAAGTTTACCAAAAAATTACATCATACAAGCATACCTCCACCTTGACGCAAAAGCCCCATAACGGCCTATAACTGCAGAATGCATACAACTAAAAAGGTTAGCTAGATAAACCATACGTTTAAGAACATACAAGCCAACAAAGGGATCTATGAAGGATAATCACCTTAAGAGAAAAAACTTTGTGCAGATGACACTGGTTCAAATGCATTCCCTTGGGGAAAAAAAATCAACTCTGTAAAGATAGCAGATGGATTTGTTTAAATAGTAATAAAATTAACGAGGGACTTCAATAACCATCACAAATTATCAAGCATGCAACCATACTACAACAAATGGCTTTTTTTTGGCCCATATAGCACGTATGTCAGACACTGACAGATGGAAATTTCAAGCTTTTTAAATTCATAGGCATTTAGATCTAATGATAAAACACAACGTGGGAGAAAACTGTTTACTTTCAGTTCAGCAAGAAAGTCAAAGAGCTTCCAAGGGCTTACCACTGGCGGATCAACGGGTGCTGGTGGTTGTACTTGTAGGTTTACCGCAACAGTCTGTGGAGGAGGAAGAGTCTGAAATGGCAACTGGACCAAAGCTTCTGCAGCTGGAAGCTCCTCTTCAGACACCAAAGCATTCTGCACCAAAACCTGACCCTGGGATAGAATTTCAGGCTGCACTTGTAAAGATTGCATAGACTGCAGGGGCAGTGGTGGAATCTGAGCTGGAGGTGATGTCGACATCTGTGGAGGGGTTGCAATTGGGATTGGAGAGGACTGCAGGGTTGAATATTGCTGGTGTGATGTTGGAGACACAATCTGCTGACCTGGGGACACCAAGGCGGACTGCTGAACTGGACCAATGTGTACAACAGGGGAAGCTGGAAGTGGAAGGTGGGATGGAAGATTCAGCTGTGCTGTAGGCTGCACCTGATTAGGGGTGGACTGCTGCAAGTTTGACCCTGGCTGGAGAGCTGATGACACAAGAGGGTGTGGCTGAATAAGTGCCTGTGGATGAATGATTATAGTAGGAGACTGACTTGGTGAATGAGGTGGAGGAGGAGACACCACTACAGACTGCTGTGCTGACTGTGACTGGCTAGGAGACATTGCCAGAGGAGGGGGATGACTCTGAATTGGTGAACAATGCTGCGACTGGGAACTGCTGGGGGCTGGAGGCAGGCCGTGGTTTGGGAGTGGCATACAGTGCTGGGAGGGCGGTGGGTCTTGAGTTGGACTTTGAAGTGTGATTGGCTGAATTTGTTGTTGCTGCTGCTGTAGTATCAGCTGATGATGGGAAACTTTGGGAGGTGGTGAATGAAGAGGAATCTGCTGATGTTTTATTAGAGGATGAGGCTGAATTGGAGGATATGACGCTACGAGAGAAAAAAATGACAATCAGTCTTTATTTCAAAAACATCACATACATTTTAAAATAAATTTAAAGGAGGAAAGTTTTCACATCAGAAACCTATAACGAGTCTTCCTAATAAAAATGATTCAAAAATGTAATGACAAACAACTTTTCCTTGAAAAACTACATAATTTCATAAACGACACTGTGATAAGTTCCAAAAGAAAACTGCCTAAAACAACTGATATAAATCTGAATTTACACATGATTTATTCTTATTAAATTTTAAAGGTCATCAAATATTTCCAATAACTTTTAACAAAGTGTATCCACTTGAATCATTCTTTGGCAAGAAGAGCATAACTGAACAAGTATCTTTATATTATACTACAATAACTCTAAAATCATAAAATAAAGATTGCATCCTTTTTAATCCATGTCTAAACATTCTTCCCACTAACAGTCAATTACTTAAAAAGCTTCCAAAATAAGTTCCCAAATTTAAACCAAGATAAACAGTTGGTACTATCTGACCCAGGAAAATTTTTGTATAAAAAGTTAATTCATTTAAGCAAAACATGTGTGTAACTCCTACAGAATGATTAAATGAAACTTAACCATGGTGAAAGGAAATTTCAGAGGCCATTCCAAATCTAGGACAGCACTAGTTCTGTTGCAGAAAAAATAATACCATCAGTCATGCTGTCTAGATAAAGGATCCTGGTTGACTTCTCTTCTTCCCCACACTCACAAAACCCTACAGTAATCTGTAAGTAATAACATCAGTTTTTTCCACAAAGGAGTCACTCATAATAGGAAAATATATATATATACACACACACCTATATATATAAGAATTAGCAAAATCAAGTACTAAGTGGTTTCCACATCATTATGCCTCTTCTGTATACTGGTGCTTATGTTTACATAGAGGGAGATGCTGATAAAATCCTATCTAAATAATGGAAACTGGGTTCACTAGAAGATAAACTGGAAAGACTGCTTAATATTAATATAATGTATCAACTGTCACATTTTAAACATACCAAGACAAAATTTTTTTTCTTAATCTCAGACTGTAACGTCTTTTTACACTGAACCACATGTGACAAAAACGTTATAAAAAAATTCTAACAACTTATTTCAATCTTTTTGCATTTGGTTATTATTTAAAATTCTGGAGATTCTTTAAAGAAATTAACATCTGGTTAACATCTCAAGAAAGAAGCATTTAGAAGGTTTAACAAATACCCAAGCATTGTTGAAGCCAAAATGGAAATTAGATAATAATCTTCATATAACTTCATTTAACTAGACTAGCATTTCAAACTAAGACTGAAAATTTTATGTCACCACCTTATAAATGTGTTGGTAAACACTCTATATTACAGTCAATGAAATCTTGGCTTTGTATAGAGTACCTTTCCACTGAGGGGCTTAAGATGCTTTCACATAACTTTCCTTTGTCCTTATAAAATGTCTGTGGAGTAGGTATTATTATTGTCCTTTTACAGATAAGGAAATACAGGTTTTGTGAGCATAATAGCAAAGGCCCACTTTACTTCAATTTTTTAAGTTATAATTAAGATTTACCATATTCTTGAAATACAATGGAGACTGTAGTCACAGGAATAAAGAGTCTCTCTGTGCTCTAGCAAGTAAGCAAACTTTGTTTTCTAGAGCTGGTAATCCACTAGAGTAATAGTTATCCTTTCACCTAAATTAAACTTTTCTTTGATCAGACATCAGAATGTGTCTATATATTTTATACTAGTCCTAAGTCCAACTGACAAGCACATATACTATAGAATAACTGTGAGGATATCTTAAACAATACTTCTGTATAAGAAAAGTCTTAGTGCTCTGAAGAATATGACATTTGTTAATTTTTCTTATTTTAACAAACACTTTAGTATTGTCAGGTAGTCTACATACAAAGTAGAACCTTTTATTATTGCAAATAATTGTATTATTGTAAATTATTAAATATATCATTTCATTCCATAGTTACTACAACCCCATGAGGTAAGACAGGCATTCTACTAATCCAATAAATTTCAGGCGAAGAAACTTTCAATAATCAGGTGACTTGCCTGCCATCACCTGGCTATTAAGGGGCAGCACTGGGCATAAAAGAAGCCACAGTCCCGGCTGAGTCTGGGTTCCGACTACGGTCCACATGTTTGTGTCCCCCAAAATTCACATGTTCAGTTCTTACTGTGACTGTTTTTGGTAATGGGGCCTCTAAGGAAGTAATAAACGACTAAATAAGGTCAACGGGCAAAACCCTGACCCAACAGGAAAACTTGCTATCCTCTTCTCACACTCAGAGGGAAGACCACGTGAGGACATACAAGGTGGCAGCCATCTGCAAGCTGGAAGAAAGCGCTCACCAAAAACCAAAACGCTGCCAGCTTTTGACCCCGAGCTTTCCATCCTCCAGAACTGTGAGAAGATCAATTTCTGTTGTTTAAGCTACCTAGTCTATGGTATTTTTTAATGGCAATCTAAGAAGCAGACTAATTAGGCTTTCATTAAGTCCTTCTACATACTGGATTAGTATCTGCAAACAAGCATATTTTTAAATTAGATTAATTTCATAAAAGCTCTAAAAACTGCTATTAAAAAACTTGAATTCTAATACAGCTCATGATAATTTCCAGATATTTGGTTAAAGTTTGCCTTTATTTTATATATTAAGAAAAGGATGAATAAATATCAAGCAGGAATTTTACTCTCAAGAAGAAATGGTGAGGAAAAGTAAATGATTTTAGCACCCTAGAAATGTATGTAAGGAAATAATAAACATGTCTATTATAATAAATATTAGACTGTACATTAGGTTAGAACACAGTAGATTTTTTAATATTTGAAAGTGACCTGCAAGAGCAAACATTTTTCCAATTGAAGAAAAGGACAAATTACCAAATCAAGAATCTAAAAAAAACATTTTAGCTTCAGACTAATAACCCCCAGCAAGAGAAAATCTAAAAGGGCAGAAAAATTATAACTGCTGCCTTGCCAACTTAGAACCAGGTATTAGGGGGTTCGAAGGGATTGAAAATCGAAAAATGAATCTCTTTGCTTGAATTAACCCTAACAGACTTTGTACCTTTCTCTTTGGAAGGAAATTAACCTCCCCTTCATTTAAACTATAGAAATCACTGGAAATTTTCCCCTGAGCAGTCATTCCAAGCACAGTGAGTCACTGCCTCCCCACACTAACTCCTTCTATCAACACTGGCCAAGGAATTACTGGGCAGTCCAGTGGATAGGACTCTGCACTTTCACTGCCGAAGGCACCGTCCAAGGTTCAACCCTTCGTAAGGGAACTGAAATTCCACAAGCCATGGGGCGTGGCCAAAAATAACCAAAAAACAAAACACTGGCCAGGGGCAGGTATGAGGCTAAGAACGCTCTATACAATACAGTACAAAAAACCTGTTACCAGGCCATACAAACAGCAGGACCTGGCACCGAGATGCTTATTAAGAAGAATTCACTTGTAACCACACTATCAATGGATTTATTATTTTTACATTCTAACAAGATCTTGAGATTATGTGATATAGAGAAAGTTGGCAATATTAGCACAGAGGAAATATGAAAAAAGAAACAGGTTTAGATGGAGGGAAGGCAAGCTTCAGCAGTGTATTAATAAAATGAAACTTTAAGAAGTAACGCACAGAGGGCAGTTCAAGATGGTGAAACAGAAGGATGTGTGCTCATCTCCTGCGAGAGCACCAACCAGCTGTTGAACAACCATCAACAGAAGGACACATCAAAAAAATATACCTCATGTCCAAAGAAAAAGAAGCCTCAGCAAGATGGTAGGAGGGGCACAACGCAATCAAATCAAACCCCATAACTGCCGGGTGGGTGACCCACAGACTGGAGAACAGAAATACCAAAGACGTTCTCACACTATTGTGAAGATTCTGAACCCCATGTCAGGTTTCCCAGCCTGGGGATCCAACAAAGGGACTGGGAATCCCCAGGGAATCTGGCCTTGAGGGCCAGTGGGATCTGATTAGAGGACTTCCGGAGTACTGAGGGAAACGGACTCCAGTCTTGGAGGCACAAACAAAATTTTGCATGCACCAAGCCCCAGAGGAAAGGAACAGTGACCCCACAGAAGACCAAAACCAAGACTACCTGCTAGTGTTGGAGGGTCTCCTCTGGAGCCGTGGGTCAGCAGGGGCTCATCACAGGGGCACTGGAAGGTACTCACTGGCATAAACCCTCTTGGAATTAACCATTAATCCTACCATAAAGCTCACAGACTCCACGGCTGGGTCACCTCAGGCCAAACAACTACCAGGGAGGGAGTGCAACCCCACCGATCAGCAGATAATTAGATTAAAGCTTTACTGAGCAAGGCCCTGCCCACCAGAGTAAGACCCAATTTTTCCCATGCCAGTCCCTCCCATCAAGAAGCTTACACAAGCCTCTTAGCCTCTTCCATCAGAGGGCAGAGGGAAGAAGCAGGAAGCAGCAGTCTCATAGCAGCTAAAACAAAAACCAAATGACAGAAAGTTAATCAGCATGAAAAAGCAGAAAGTTATGTCTCAGATGAAGAGACAAGATAAAACCCCAGAGAAACAACTCACTGAAGTGGAGACAGGCAATCTTCCAGGAAAAAAATTCAGAATAATGGTAATGAAGATGATCCAGGATCTCAGGAAAAGAATGAAGGCAAAGATTGAGAAGATGTAAGAAATGTTTACCAAAGACCTAGAAGAACTAAACAACAGACATGAATAACACACTAGAAGGAACCAACAGCAGAATAACTGAGGCAGAAAAATGGATTAATGATCTGGAGAACAGAATGGTGAAAATCACTGCCACAGAACAAAATATAGAAAAAAGAATGAAAAGAAATGAAGACAGCCTAAAAGACCTCTTCGACAACATTAAATGCACCAACATTCACATTTTAGAGGTCCCAAAAGGAGAGAGAGAGAAAATATTTGAGGGGATAATAGCTGAAAACTTCCCTAACATGGGAAAGGAAATAGTCAATCAAGTCCAGAAGGCACAGAGCCCCAGGAAGGGCAAACCCAAGGAGAAACACCCCAGGACACATTACTGTCAAACTGACAAAAGCTAAACAGAGATAAAATATTAAAAGCAACAAGGGAAAACAGCAAACAACATACAGGGGAACTCCCATCAGGCTATCAGCTGATTTCTCAACAGAAACTCTACAAGCCAAAAGGGAACGGCATGATTATTTGAAGTGATGAATGGTAAGAACCTACAACTAAGAATACTCTACCCAGCAAGACTCGCCTTCAGATTTTATGGAGAAATCAAAAGCTTTCCAGAGAGACAAAAGTTAAGACAATTCAGCATCACCAAAACCAGCTTTACAACAAATGCAAAAGGAACTAACTTCTCTAGGCAGGAAACAAAAAACAAGGAAAAGAAACCCAAGACAGAAAATAAATCCAAGACAATTAAGAAAATGGTAATAGGATCATACATATTGATAATTACCCTAAATGTAAATGGTTAAACGTACCAACCAAAAGACACAGACTGGTTGAGTGGATGAAAACATGTACATGTATGCACTTCCACTTACCACATCACTCTACTTGACCCCCCAAATTGTATGTAATTATTTTATATTGTTAAGCTAATCATGTTCCCATTATAGCTTGCAACTGTAATTATCTTTTATTTTTTGTCTGGCTATTGATTATGAAAACTGACAAACATCTTTTCCTATTGTGATTATGTAATGATTATTCACTTAATATCATTGTATCATGATTGGTCAACAGAAAAATAGAACTCTGTATCACCAAAACTAGGATCTAATAGAAAAACCTGTAATCACTTTTTAAAATGCAGATGCATTACCAGAATTATCTTGAAGCTTTTTGAAAAATACAAATGCTTTTGTTCTCCAGAGTTCCAGATATGTTTCTAATGAGCAATCATGTTTAAAAACAACTGGACTATATGATGATCTTTTATTTTTATCTAGTCAGTTTCACTTTTTCTATTTCATATTCAATGCTCCCATTCAGTTTATATTCTCCAATTTCTCCATCTCTTTTTTTATGTTGTCTCTCAAGCCTTTATCAAGTGTAGTAAAGCTTTTGTATAAATATGTATAATATATATTTTAGAAAACTTATGAATTTTTGTCTAAGTAAAAAATTATGACAGTTTGATTCCACTTGTTTGACTTAGTATGAATAGAATGCTAGATTTCTAACTTAAAAATAGATATGCAACAAGCAACAACGGTTTACTGTATAGTCAAGGGAACTATAGTTAATATCTTATAATAACCTATGATGGAAAATAATTTCAAAAATAATATATGTGTATTTGTATAACTGAATCACCTTGCTGTGCACCTAAACATTTTAAGTCAACTATACTTCAGTAGAATATATATGTTATAAAAAGTATTGCATAATTATAAAAGGATAGAAAGAAGATACTTACCTGATGAGGCTGGATCAAAGGAAGTTTTTTTTTTTTTTTAGGTAACATATGAGGTGCCTAGCTCAGTGCATGACACACACACTTTCAATAAACAAATTAAGCTGGTATAAAAACATATGTAGATATATTAAGAATAGGAGAGATCTAAGTAGGCTTAAAAAGCATAAGAAAGCATCCAGCATGAGGGAGACAAAAGCTGCTTTAACTATGAGAGAAGGTCAGGAACAAGTTTTAAAAAAATGCAATCAATGACACAGGGAAATAGTGCTAACTTTAAAGCAGAAAGCAGATAATTCCTTATCCTACTAGAATTGAAGAAAGCTCAAAACTGAGAAATTCTGAGATGAACAGAAGACATGATAAGGAAACTCACTCTGCACAGTCCTAACACTTTCAGCATAAGAACCATGAAGGAAGATTATCTATAGATGGCAAAGGGAACAGACATGGGTTTCCAAGGCTGAGGAGAATAAAAACAACTTAGTTGGCTCTCTGACATCCTCCTCTCAGAGATGAAATCAAAGATGGAAAAAGAGCAACATGGCGAGGAAAATAATTATGCATAATCCTTATTTTTGGAAAGTGATAAATTCCTCCCACTAGTCACAATTTTAAAGAAAAATATATACTTGCTATTTAAAAAAAGCTTTTAATTTTGGACAAGTAAAGCATATTAAATAAACCACAGGCAAAATTTTTTTTAAAGCTAACAGGTTTTATCCATACAACAGGAGACTAGCACACAATGAAAATGTTAATCAAATATCAACTGACCAAAAAAACCTATTATAATGCTTTAACTGTTGGGCTCTTCTTTTTTCAAGCTATACTATTGAAACATTCTTTTGTTAACTTATAAAATTCACACTTTATAATGTTTTAAAAGTATTCTTGTTCAAGTAATGATATCTTTTGTTTAGCTCTGCCTGAGAAGAAAATGAATAATGCAACTATTTTCAACAAAAGTTTTTCCCACCTGGTGCTATTAACTGGTGAATACTTGATGTCCGGGTGACAGCTGTGCTTCGTGATTCCAGACTTGGACTTTCTCCCTTCTTATTACTTTCTGGAGAAGGATCTCGTTGGCTGATTTTAGAACTGGTCACTGTTGTTTTGTTATGACAAATTGTCAATGACTGAGTTTGACTAGTACTTTTTGGCGGACCATTTTGTGAGCTAGATAATACACCCAACTTCTGGCTGCGTAATGTTAAATTCTGAACCTAAGAACCACACAACAAAAAACAAGGATGAAACAGATGGTATTAATTGATGTGGTAATCGCTACCATTGTAACAGTGACAACATATTTATCATGCTTTTTTATACATAAAGTTCCAAACATGTAAAACAACTAACTAACCCTGAAAGAAAGGGGAGTTGTTATTCTAATTAATCGTACCTTAAACATTAAGTGGCATTTTTTTTTTAAGACATGAAGGAAAAGAATCATTAAGAACTAAATAGACTATATATACATATGGCAAAAGAACTATGAATAGGAGGAAATTACCCTGTAACATGCTGCATTTTAAAGTTACCAGGTCAGAGACAGTGGAAGGGAAGGAGAAACAGGAAGAGCATTCCGGGCAAAGGGGAAAACTTGAGCCAAGTGGCAGAGGTGGGAGAGCCCAGAACGCAGAGGGAAGAGTGAGCAATTCCTTCAACTTCACTCTTGAGTTCTCCACGTCAGCACTGAGAAACATTTCAAGCCTACAAGCCCCTCATAAACTTGTGAGAAATTACTACACACAATTAGAGGGGAGTGTGAATACAATATTGCTATCTTAATAAAGATGAGAAAAGAGATAGCAAAAAAGTTACTAGGTCTACAGAGATTATCTACTATCTCTATAGACCTAGAAACTTTTTTATAATATATATATAATAATAATAGATAAGAGATTAGAAGGGAATGCTAATCTTCTAAGAAAAGATATTCATGAAATCACCAAACCCACTGTGATAATTACTAAAAGCATTTCCATTAACTAACTTTAAAGAGTGAGATTTTGTTGGGATGGTTATGAAACACTCATTTGCCCTTCAGAACTGGATCTCGAGCTGGAGAGACTGCGCATGGCACTGAAATGCTCTGATGTGAGGACGCCCATCTGTGTGCACAAATAGATAGTTGTGTCCCACTTTTGGCGACCCCCTCGACTGTAGCCCGCCAGGCTCCTGTCCATGGGATTCTTCAGGCAAGAATACTGGAGTGGTTGCCATGCCCTCCTCCAGGGGTCGATCCCAGGTCTCCCACACTGCAGGCCGAGCCACCACGGAAGCCCGAGTCCTGTATACACCAGGGCTTCCAAACACACTACCAGTCAGGATGGTGGCAAAGATCAACCCAATTACTCTCATCTGAGGTTTGTAACATTTTAAAACAGTGAGACAGAAAACGCCTCTTCTGGATGCCTAACTTTTTGCCTCTCTGGAATGAATGCACCAAATATATTAATGCTAGGAAGGGAAACTGAAGTAAAAGAGATTCTAGGGTGACAAATATATTGCTGCTTTATGTTTGGTCTCTACAACAGTACTATTAACTGATGCTCGATACCTTCTCTTTCCAAGTGCCAATGCAGTGTTCAGCCAACAGCAGATGCTAAATAAATGTTTACTTCAGCGCAGTTGAAGTTTTAGTCAGTTCTAAGTTACTTGAAAGAATTTTCTAAGTGAGACCATATGGAGCATCTTCTCTAATTTTTCTCAAATATTTCACAGCAGTGTAAACACACTGAATCACTGCTGTATTACCGAAATTTAACACAAGAATAAAACATGCAGAGATCCAGATTTCCCAGCTCGCCACTCAAAGTCCCCCACTGTCTGGGCCCGAGCCGCGCCGAGCCCTTCTCCACCATTTCAGTTCACAGTCCTCATTTTCTGGCCAAACTTCTGCTCGTCCTTCTCCACACACACCTTGCACTTTCTTCATTCAGAGCCCTCGTTCAAATTCCCCTTGCCTCAACGTGGTCTCCTGAAGTCCAACACACTGCTCAAAACCAGTTAAAGTTCTACTCATTCTCCCAAAGAAACCTCTCCATGTCTCTGGTTAGAAATAATTTATCCTCCTGTCTATACTTTTCCCATAGAATTTGGATCATACTGGCCTCTACCACTGACAAGGGTCTAGCTTATTTTAGAATTAGTAATGTCTGTGTCTGTGACATACTGAGGCTCTGACTGGCAGGCTCTCATCTCTGACATTCATTTTTTTAATCCCCACAGTTCTGGCTGCAGACCTAACAGAAACTACACAAGTCTGAAGCATTCTCCAATATGTCATTCCAAAATATGTATGATATGAATTTTGTTAAGCATCTTGTTCTATTTATAGTTTTCTTAAGCTAACACTAAAATCTGTTCATGTTTAACCAAAAAAAACTCAACAAATGTCTAGCAGAGGAATATTAAAATCTCTCAGGAAGCAAGGGAGAAACATCATAAAATTTAACATGTGCCATAAATAATACATAAAGTGGACCACCTCATGATGATATTCAAAGGCTGAATTATAGCCTGAAAAACAAAACTTTTCTTCAAATTAAAAGAATATTCAAAGCAAATGAATATTTGACACAATGAACCCTTAACCTGCAGCAGTCCATTTAATATACTTTTTTCTTCTAGTTTTCCCTTTGTTTTCTGGAGTTCTGAAAGAAAGTGTGTGTGTGTATATATATTGTATTTTATTTATATAAATGAATAACTTCAGAATATGGCTTTACTATCTATGGTCATCTAAGCTTAAATATTTACAATAAATTTCAAACATGTAAACTATACTCCTAAAGTATATACAGAGCTAAATGAGCTGTTAATAGAAAAATCACATGTTCAGCTATCCTTGACAGAACTTCACTTTTAAAAAGAACCCACCCTTTCTAAGATAAAGAATATTATGGCATCTAATGCCCAATTTTAATTTCATCTGAACTTTTCCTATGATCACTGTGTAGAAACTTTCTGACTTAAAAGAGTCTACCTTTCCCACAAAATATTCTTGCTAATTTCACACCTCACATTTTTATAGTGGATTACCCAAATACTCACTTGTTTTTTAATTTGGACCTAACTATGTGTGAATTATCGCAGCATCTCTTCTTTGCAGATAAGGAAATTAAGAGTGCTGGCAGCAGAACTACTTCTAGCCTCTAAATCTAAGACTGTTTTCTCCTCAATTCTTACAATATTTCCCTGATAGCCTTGGTAAGATTTCTTACTATTCCATAGCATACTTTTAGTATTATGATAACTTTCTGAAAGATTTTTTTTTTCAAGGTAAGGATACGAGATGGAGCATTTAAAATAGTAAATAAGGGTAAGATAGTCCCAATTTCTTATTTTTTACAGTGTGCTATAAATTTTATTACTAAGGAAAAATTAACTTATACTGACTTTTGTCAGTTAAAGAATATTAAAACTTCAAATTTGGCATTTCTCAATTTGAATCAAAATATTTAAAATAACTGCAAATATATGTTTAAAAATTAACAAAGTGGAACAGAAATTCTTCAAACGAACAGCCCTGAACTTGAGGAAAGTTACCACTGGAATACTCGGATTACTGGAGAGCCACACACCTATAAAGATCATATCTGGACCCAAAGAGCTAATTCTATAAATTAATTATGTTCATATTAAAGATGCTACTAAAGACAATGCAAGATGTTTTCTCCATGAGAACCCACAAAAGAGACTGTGCTCTATAGAGTTTGTTAATTGTATTTTCCTAATAAGTGGTTTATTTTACCTTGGAAATTGCAAATTCTTTAAATGGTTGTATTTCTTTCTTCACCATTAGCTACGTAAAAGCTAAGAACCGAATTTGTGACTCATCTTTAGACAGTATATAACAAAAACAGTAATTAGTAGCATGTGATATTTTATGTGCCAGGCACTATGCTAAGTGTCTATTTATTCCTTTTAACAACTCTGAGCTATTACTTCCAGTTTAAAGGGAAGAAATTGAAGCTCAGCGTAAGTAATAACAGCAGCTAACATTTAGTGAATGCTAACTAGGTTAACAGAAACTTCTGTTTTTCATTTTATTAACCTATTTAATTCTCATTACAACCCTGTGAGGTATTATAATTATTTTATAGTTATTTCACTTTATACTGTTGAAACTGAAGTGAGAGTTTAAAGATAGAAAATGAGAAGGTGGTAGAACATGTATTTGAACCCAGAAAATCTGGCTCCAGAGTCCAAACTTATACACACCATGCTATGACCTGTCCAAAATGAATCAACTGTTAAGTGACAAAGCGACTTGCCAAAGTCAGCTTATAAGCCCATGTCTTCCTATTCTTTCCTCTGCAGATAAAGTACTAATGAGTACCTATAAGATTCTAGGCACTAAACATATATTACTCTTCAGCTTAACCCTACAAGTATGCATAACCACTAGAGATGTTTGGTAACTTGTCTAAAGTCATACAACTAATAAATGACTGCAGTGGAAGTTGAACTTAAGCCCATGCAGGACTTCATGCACTTAAGTTCAATGGCAACCTAACTCTAAGCTCCATGCCACTTTATAATTCTGGAAGCTGATAATGGTCTAGCTCTATTAGGTTTTATAAAAAGACAAAAACAGGAAGATAATTACTTCAATAAATTCACTCCACAAAGAAACATTTAAAGTTTAGAGCCCAAAACATCTTAATGTTAACAAAGGTCTCATTTTGTAAACATGGAAAGTGATGTATACAAATAAGGAAGTATAGAGGGTCACATAACAATGAGGAGAAACCAGAGTTTAACGGATCACCACCTTTATATGCTGACATATGAAAACAGACCTTTCTGATGAAAAGAAAGAGATTCCATGAAAAATACCAAAGAATATTACTGCTAACTCATTTTGTACCTTTTACCAGATGATTGAGATTATTAAAATTACAAAGCCAAGGACGGCCTTATTAGGATATATTAACTTCTGCCATATGCAATCCAAAATATTAACAATGGAAAAATACAAAATGATATCATACAACATAAAAGTCTATTCAACAGCTTTAATTAAAAATGTACTCCATTTCATTCATTTTTATTAACCTGAGGTGTAACGTACATACAATAAAATGAACCAGTGCATTAAGTTTTGACATATGTATACATGTTACCACCGCCCCAATTTAAATATAGAACATTCCCTTCACTCATGCCCCTTCCCAGTCCATCTCCTCCACCTTCTGCTCGAGGCATCACAAATCCATTTCTTTTTCACTATAGCTCTGCCTGTTCTGGAATTCATATAAATGAAGTCACAAAGCATGCACCCTCTGATATCTGGCTTCTTTGACTAATTATAATGTTTCTGAGATGTATCAGTAGTCTGTTCCTTTTTATTTCTGAGCAATATTCCACAATATGCTTATCCATTCACCAGTTAAAGCAGACTGGTTACTTCCAATTTGGGGCTATTCTCAATAGAGCTGCTATGAACACTCATTTAAATATCTTTATGTGGATATATGTTTTCAAATCTCTCAGGGTAAACATCTAGAAGTAGAATTGCTGGGTCACATGTTAAGCATACGTTTAACTTCACATGTGACACTACGGCTGCTCCACATTCTTGCCAAACATGGTATTTTCAATCTCCTTCATTCCAGCCTTTCTAGTGAGTCTATAGTGATACTCACTGTGGTTTTGATTACATTTCTAGAAAGACTAATAACGTTGAGCATTTTTTTCATGTGCTCATTGGCCTTATGCTTATCCTCTTTTGTGAAGTGTTGAATCTTTTGCCCATTTTTAACTAAACTGTTCAAGATCTCATTGAGTTTTACACCTATTTTATATATTCTCAATATAAGTCCTTTGTCAGATTTATATATATATATATATATATATATATAGTGAACATTTCCCCTCAGTCTGTGGCTTGCCTCTTCATTTTTGTAGCAATGTCTTTTGAAGAATAGTTTTTAAATTTTGACAAAATCCAATTTATCATTGTTTTTTTTTATGGCTAATTCTTTTTTTTTTTTAATGGCTAATTCTTTTGTGTCCTATCTGAAAAAGCTTTGCCCACCCTAGAGCTATAAACCTATCTCCTCTGTCTTCTTCCAGAGGTTTAATAGTTTCGTCTTTTGTCTTCAGGTCTACATTCTAGTTCTATTTTATTTTTGTGAATGGTGTAAGGTGAAAATTAGTGTTCCATAGAACCAAACAAAAATAAACAAAAAACTGAGTGATATCCTACTCAATTTTTTAAATTTAAAATTTATCCAACTCTATCTTTTAAATTAAAAATTTATCATTTTTAAATTCAAGAGCCATCCTGACTTAGTTATTACTTAACTGTCCGCTAAGGAAACTGAAGAATGCATCTCACATAAAAGAAGCAGATCTGCTTTACAACAGAACTGAACATAAAATGTCATTGCAAAAACACATTAACTCTACTAATGTCAAATAACCTAAATATCCATGTTTCATGGCATTATAATTTCTACAGAACCAAAAAATGTTCTTGAAGTTCTCACTATATTAAATGTTAATCTGAAATGTATGACAAAAAGCACTGAAACCATCAGTAAAATAAACACAAACGTACGTTTATCTTTAACCTGAAGACCCAGACCTTAGAGTACCAACTCACGAAGCTGGACAAGCTCACCTGAGTAGCTGCAGACTGACAGGAAGATGACGATGACGACGAGACAACAGGAATGTCAGACTGTACAGCAGCCACAGTGGTAGCGGGTGTGAAAATCAGCTGTACAGACAGAAAAACCAAAAAAATACCCTAAGACAAAAGAACATGTCCCACACACAATGTATAGCAGGCAAGAGAGACTGAAATCTGAGACAGAAAGACAATGCAGATTAGGACTGTCTCCTACGCAAAAGGTTTTACATGACAAGGAGAAGTTTTTGATAATAGAGAACTCAAAAGGAAAAAAAAGGAAAAACCATAAACATTTCTCAAACAGTTCATGATTCTGATGAGTAGAAAATAAATCAGTGCTCAAAAAAGAAAATGTATTTTGGCAATATAAAATCCACATACCAAATTTTTCCCCAAGTAAACTATTAAGACTTTTCCTAGCTCAAAACTATTGTGGCAGGATTCCTAAAATGGAAGTTGTAATAGATAACCGTTGTCACTGCTCTTGAATGCAAATTAAATTTCAGTAAGAAACATGAAAAGAAACACCAAAAAGTCTTTTCAGTCCTCTTTACCCCCAAAGGATAACTATGCCACACACTGTACTATATTTCACTCACCTACACAGGATCTGTGTGTAGTACAAACCTAGGTTGCTCTTGATTTTAAAAGTATTTGTAAAGAAATATTCATTCTAAGTGTAAATGCCACAACATGTCAAAATTCAACATCAAAACAGCTTGCAAAAAAAACTTTACATCAAAAAAAAGATATACTCTATTTAATTATCACCATGTTTTTTAATACTGAAACAAGGCCATTAATTTAAAAAGGCAATACAATCCACTTAAAAAATTACCCAATCCAACTTAGTAAATTATGACAATTGTTTTAAAGAACCTGTGAATATCTCAAAATTGCATCAAAAGTTATACAATTCCTCAAAAACCATTTCTGTTTAAATTATCAATTAAGGGATCTTTTAAACTTCAGTTCTTTATATACTAAATTTAAGTGAATTAAACAACAAAGTTTAACTTTCACAAGAAGGATTCAATACAAACAGCTAAAAGCACTAAACCTAAAAAGATGTTCTATCTAGCATGAACCATATGAAACTGCCAGTTTTAAAGGTTAAAAACAGCCGAATAGCTGTCATTTCAAACATGTTTCCCTAATTTTGAAATGTGTGTGTGTGCGCTAAGTCGCTTCAGTCGTGTTCGACTCTTTGCGACCCTATGGACTGCAGCCCACCAGGCTCCTCTGTCCATGGGCTTCTCCAGGCACTAATACTGGAGTGAGTTGCCACGCCCTTCTCCAGAGGATCTTCCCGACCCAGGGATCTAACCCTGTCTCTGACATCTCCTGCATTAGCAGGTGGGCTCTTTACCACTAGAGCCACCTGGAAGCCCAATTCTGAAGCTTATTGTTGATTACATAAGATCTCATGTTGGGGGGGGGGGGAAACAACCAGAAATATGGTCACGTCTACTGAATAATCTATAAATAGAAAGAGAGTCATTATCACTGCTTCCCATTACAAATATGATGGAGACTTGCTCTGCAATTTTAGTAAAGAATTGGGAATCCAGATATATATTCAGTTCACCAGATAAAAAATATCAATAAATTCCTATCTGGGATAAAGCTCTTCTCTAGCAATCTGTAAAGACATCAAATAAAGTAAATGTCAACCAATTTTTACATTCCTTAAAGCTCAACAAGTAAATTAGGAAATCAGTAGCCAAATTAACATTCTTATATTAACCAAAGATCAAAGTGATCATAAGAACATAAATCAGCTTGCAGATTTTAAGATGGGAATAACCAAAGTTAAGACTCATCTGGTAAATTATCAAGAACTTCAATCCAGCGTTCAGAAGATTCCACAATATAAACTGTAATTAACAGTTAAAACCATGTTTTTAATGTTTCTAACAATTTCATCAAATCTAAAATGTCAAAGATACACAGTGATTTTATATATCACTCTAAGAACCAACTAAAAGATGCCATTATAAAATGCATCTCAGTTTTGAGATGTTAAAATATGAAAAAAGTTTGAAATCAAAGAAATTTGATATTAAAAAATAATCACTCATGTTACAGAATGTTAGCTACATCAAGAAGGCCTACTAATTTAAAGTAGAATTTTTCATGGCATAAACGTGTAGAGTTAATCACATACACACAAAAAAATTGTTAAAACATTCCTTAAGTATTAAAAAAATGCCTCCTACTGCATCAAATCAAGAAACATTTTGATCTCTCTCAAGTTCTTAAACACTGAAAAAATCTGGTAGCTCGTATCTTACCATTTGAGCTCGGAGATACATTTGAGCTTGGCTTGCCGTTAGGGTAGGGGAGGTACTCCCTAGTAACATAGTCTGTTGGGTAATACTGCCACTGGTAGAACTGGAAGCCTGGGAACGGCTTATTAACTGTGCAGGTGTAGGAGAAGTAGAGAGGTTGATCTAAGGAAGAAAACATATCAGGTCATAGGCTTCCATTTCTTGCTTCCATGTCATTGACTTTCACCAAGTTGCAGTTAGGCAATCAATGGTATATGTCGTGGCTAAGGAACCTAAGAGAGGGCTTCATATTTGACAGACCTGTCAGTTCTCAGGTGATTATTTGCACATATGCAAACAACAGCACATACGGGTTAGTAATGAGGACAATTTTTAAGGATGTTCTCATTGTGTTTCATAAGACTCCAACATCTTAAAATACCATTTCTACTTCCCCAAAATTAGGGCTATTGTTCCATTATTTCAATATTCCACGTAATAATTTAAAACATCTGAATTAACACTTTATATTATTTTGTCATTTTCTGTCACATATTGAGGGATTTCTGAAACGAATAAAAGTTAAAACACAGATAATCCATTCACATGTATAACAACATACACAGAACTAGTATAATCTCTTTCAAAAGTTCTAAGAACAGAATTGTTACTTGTCATACAGATGAAAAACTCCTTAATGTTGGTTACAAAATTAAACTATAAAAACTAAAACTGTTGTTAAGAATAAATTAGTCCATGGTCTAACTCTAGGCTATGAGACAGACTAGTAACTAGTTTCATCCGTGAAGGCAAACGGGGCAGGACAGTGAGCAGGGCAAAGGGACACGTGTAAACCACTACATCATATGTTATCCACTTAAAAAATATTTCTAATGATAATTAAAAATCCAGCCTCTGGAGAAGGCAATAGCAACCCACTCCAGTATTCCTGCGTGGAAAATCTCATGAACAAATGAGCCTGGTGCACTACAGTTTATGGCATTGCGGAGTCAAACACAACTTAGCAACTGAACAACAACAACACACAATCAGGCAGATTGTGATTTGGGGAAATAGTTCTTGATGGAAATGTGACATAAAATGAAGACTGAAGTGACTGAGCAATATGGAATACAGAGTTTTGTAAGAAATTAACATTTGTGTATAGAATAATAACTGCAAATATTCAAACAATAAAGTCCATGGCTAAAGGAAAAAAAAAAACCCAACCTCAAATTCTTTTTATGGACAATGCAGAGAATAAAATTAAGAAATTAAAAAATAAAAAATAGTTTATTAGACTTCTGATTTGAGGAACAAGGCAGATTGAACTAATATATCCATGTGCCCAAATGTACTCACTGAAAAGGAAAATCAACATTAAAAATTATAATAATATCTCTGGGGTGGGATCCATTTTAGCAAAATGTTGTCCACACATCCTGGGGAGAGTCCTAAGACCAGTCAGGTGTGAAGAAAGAAAACAAGATAATTGACCAAACAGAAACAAAGACCCAGAAACACTGTCCTATAAAAAAAAATAAAAATAAAAAATAAAAAATAAATAAAAATTATAATAATATGTAGCTGAACCCAAAAAAGGGGAGGGGAAAGGGAAATTCCCAGGAGCCAGAAAGGAAGAAACTCAGATACAAGATCCAAGTAACAGCAAGGCAACCTAGGGATACTGGCCCACAGAGCTAGAAGACCTGATTTTCAGCCTGATTTTGATCCAGAAGTAAGTCTCCTTCTGAGCCAATATCCTCAAAAGGGCTCCTCAATATGTGAAAAGAAGCTGGGAAAGCTCTCCCCATGCTTCCTGAAAAGCAGCAAGAAAGCTTGTTATATGCCCTGTTCCCAGTGGAAGGAGAGAGGTTCTTATGAGAATCAAAACTCCAGGCTTGTGCCATACAGGGGCACTACCTGCACAGTTCCATCATCTATCCCAAAACATTAGCATTTGTACTGAAGCAGGACATCTGTTAACCTCAACAAGTGACTGGAGGGAGCTGAGTGAAGGTTATACAGGGGATCTCTCTGCACCGTTTCTAGAACTTCTTGAATCTATTTAAAAGTAAAAAGTTAAGAAAACTGCATAGTTAAGAAAACTGTGTGAGTTGGTTAACTAATTCTTGAAATTTATTTGTATCTTTTAAGTATTTCTTAGTTTTAATAAAATATTGTCCATGGAATTTTCCAGGCAAGAATGAATACTGGAACAGATTGCCATTTCCTACTACAGGGAATCCTCTCGACCCAGGGATATAACTGGCAACTCTTGCGTCTCCTGCTTGGCAGGTGGATTCTTTATCACTGACAACACCTGGAAAGCCCAATTTAAATATGTAATTCAGTGCATAAATACAAGTAATAAAATATAAAAACTTATTCTATAATCTGGCTTTTATTCCTAGCACACCAATAAAATCCCATTAGCAAAAATCACCACCACCTTACGACAAATTCAGTGGATTCTTCTTGGAAATCTTCTTTTTCAATCTTCTTTACCAGCTCTTTCTAGCCCACCCCCAAACTCTTCACCTTTGTTCCCAACACTTTTCCTCTTCAATTCCTAGATTATCCTATCTACTCCCATAGTTTGGAATAATTCAATCCTAAAGATGCTCAATCCTTGATGACAAATCCTTCCTCTCCAGGTCCAAATAAGTAACAGAATACATCTTTCTGGATGTCTCTTAAACTGACTCAAACCCAACATGTTCAATCACCAAACTCATTATCATTCCTCCTTAAACCAGCTTCTCCTCAAATGGCCACTGACATCTTCTAATAATCCCCCAAGACAGACTATCTGGAAGTCGTCGTAATTCCTCCCTCTCCTATAACTTACACACAGAATCAGTGACATATCTTACTGTAGAAACAGTAGAAACTCTCTCTCCCTCAATTTCATTCTGACTTTGAATCACTTTGAGTCTCTAAACCCACAGGAATTCCAGTTACTTTACCAGCTGCAAACTGACCTCCCTGCTTGGAATATTATCTCCTCTGACTTGCCAAATAATCCTTCCCTGATTTTAATTTAAAAATATTAATTAACCGTTTAAAAATCCCTGATAACATTCAAACTCCCCTGACTACCGCTCTAGTATCATCTCTTCCTACTCCTCCATACGAACCCTTCACATTAGTCATATGAAGCCACTGACAATGTCGTAACGTCTCAGGCCTTTGTGGCCTGGCAACAACACTCCAGACTTAATTGAGCATCACCTACGACTATACGCCACACCTCTTCCCCACCCCGTGTAGTAAATAATCCCTCTCAAAAATCACCTGCTAAGCTTTTTAAGACATCCCTATACCCCACAGTAGAACTGACTATTCCCTCTCCCTTTATGCCTGTTATCTTCTATAACTTCCATATACTTCTGGCACATACTTCTCTCTCACTCGTCTAAACAGTGATTTTTTTCAACAATTTTTTAAGAGTGGGGCCCATGTGCTATTTATCTTCATATATTCAATATCTCTAAGAGAGCCTTCAATCAATGTTAATTAACTTAATGAATGCCATGTTATTTTAAGGCATACTTCATACTTTAAATGCAATATCACACAGAGTGAGCATGCGTGTGTTTCAGAAGAAAAATCAATTCTGGTATAGCCCCTAACAAAACACAGTAAAAATGCAGATAGTGTGGTGATACTAGTTTCACCTCTACTTTTGATGTGCTATATAATAAATTATTAATAACCTCCCACAGAAAACATTCTTTTTCTACACCACTCCACAAATGTTTTTGGATAAACCCTTGCCCCAAAGATTAAATCACTTAGCAGAGTAAAACTGGTCCATGTTTTCTGACTCATTTTGGCATACAGGGTGCTTTCCTATGCCCTGAGAGCTTGTTAATTTGGGTCACTCTACAGTAATAATGCCTTGCCACTTTTTTTCAGTCAGTGATTCTTAAAAAATAAAATAAAAAAGGTAGGTAGGTACGTAGGCAGGAAGGAAGATACTCTCATAAAGGACAGACCACACACTCTTAAAGAAAAACATAAGAGTCTTCTTAAAAACTGACTGGCTGATAGCTAAAGTGCCTGAGAATACTCTGTAAGGAAGTAGAACAAAAAGTATTTACAAATAGAAAGCTTTCTTTTTCTTAAAAAAGAAAAAAAAAAAGGAACTAAGAAACTCAACAGTAACCTCCGAGCCACCTGCATTTCACTTTGTCGAAGCTGTGAGATCAAAGAATAAATGTTTATTTTTAAGTTCCAGATGGCAAGCACCATTTCACAGCATCTACTATGAAGGCAGAATCCATAAGGGCAGGATTAGCATCCAACCCTGCGAGAAATCCTTTCCTTTCCAGAACTGATATGCTCTCCTCTATTTTCTGCTCTACTCTGCCCATCTAAACCAGATGCCCTAAACTCTTTGCATCATCTTCTCTGTCACCTCTTTCTCAACATTCGTAATTGCCTTTCATTTTAAAGCCTTGGCCAATCCTGTCACCTCACAACCCATCCCCACACTCCATAAAAGAACTTACTTCTTTAGCCTCAGTACTGGAAGCTCTCCCTCTAATGACACTAAAAGTCACCAAAGGAAACCAAGTCTGCCAAGAAAAGTCATGTAACTTCCAGCCACTCCTTGGTGCCCCCAATAGGGGGTTACACAGAGTACTCCCTGAAACCAAAGCCTATTTGAGACCCCACTACAGCAATTTGAGTGGTCAGAATCCATAAGGTGGATCTACAGAGAGACATGGTACACTGATATTAGAAGGCTGATGTATGTCTATATTCAATAGCATGAAAATATTTTTACGACCTACTGCTAAGTGAAAAAAATTGTAGAACATGTAGAATATAATCCACTTACATAATTATACACCAGTATCTGCATGTATGGATATATACACACAAGTAGCAAACATGTTAAGAGAGAAATGACTACACTATATAGACATACAATAATGCATACTCATAAAACTGTATCTGATTAGATTTGATATCAATACACACACACACACACACACACACACACACACACACACACACACACACATTTGGAAGAATAATCACCAAAATGCTAGAGGTGAATCATGCCTCCTAGGGGTAAAATTCGGGAATTATTTATATTTTCTTTTTCAAAGTTTTTGTCTTTTCTATATAGGTATTAACTTGAGAATCAGAGAGGAAATGTTTTCCTTTCT